ACCCCTGCGAATACCCTCTAAGCTGCTTAGTGCGAAACCGCGGGATCCCCGTTTAGGGATTCTTCCGCGTCTCCGCACCCAGCAGCCTCCCGACCTAGCCGGGGCGGACGTACGAAGCCCTGAAACTTTAGTCGCTACAGCAATACAAAACTAAAGAATAACGTTTTTTGTCTGTAGTGCTTTTTAAAGGAAGGTTAATTCGCCAGAACGGCGCTCCTAGAAGGTAATTTTTATTTTTCGAAATTATAAAAAACTACCGTCGCCTCAAACTTGAATAGTATCCAAGTTACGCGTTAAAAATGGCTATTTACGGTTTAAGCCATCATAACTATTATTGGCAATAACGACCAACAGTTTCCAAGTTAATAGAAAACTTAATACTTACTATAGGTGCTTTCTTAAGAGCGAGTTTAGCAGGCGCTATAGTGGTAGTGACCAAATTTTTCAAAATAATGAGACCGTCTTGTTAGTTTCAAAACTATCCAATTTGGTGTAACTTATGTAACTTTCCTTGTATTACGTAGAACGTACTTTCTTTAATTACAAGTAATCACACTAATATTATAAAGGCGAAAGTTTGTGAGTTTGTTTGTTTATTACTTTTTCACGTCTAAACAGCTGGAGTGATTTTAATAAAATTTAGTGTGGAGTTAGCTGACACCCTGAATTAACACATAGGCAACGTTTTGCTACGGGAAAATATCCCTAATGAACCACGGGTAACACCGCGGGGGACAGCTAGTTTAAAATAAGAATAAAAAAAACTATAATATATCATGTTTACACGCACACCAATCCTACTTAATATTATAAATGAAAAAGTATGTTCGTTACTCAATCAGACAAAAATTACTGAATAGATTTAGATTAGCACATTGAATACTTTTTATTCAGGAAATAATTTTCCTGTGGGATTTTTAAAAACTATCTATAACGCGGATAAAGTCGCGGACGAAAGCTCGTTTTTTAATAACACACTTTTTGGAACAATGTTGAACAGGAATAAGCGAGTTTACATATAAATATTTTCACCATTCTTGACTTTTCGGTTCTTTTAAAGGATTCGTAATAGCAGGACTGAACTTTTAAAAATGTCAATCATAGAGAAAAACAGCCGTTCATATTCTTTAGTACTATGTGCGTGCCTGCACTAAAAAGCACCTCTTGATAGGTTAGAAGCGCGTATGCCCATATTAAGTCTCGTAGTCGTTGAGCCATAATATCGACTATGTTATTTTTGTTATCCGCTCAGCAACTATGGCCAATAAAAAAGAATAGTTCGACTCACAATGAAAAAGCTTTGCCGATCTCATGAAGATAATGAAAATGGCAGTGATAGAACTCGATTGAAGATAACATAAGCCACAGGAGGCCTTGTTTCTTATTATGGGATAGTTGAATAGTATTAAAAGATAATATTGCTCAATTTATGTTTCAGTGTAAGAAAAACAAACGATTATTACTTTACATTATTGATGAAGCAGTACCTAAATAATAACTTACATCAAACCCACAAACCTTCGACGCCTCATAAAATATTAATGACAATCACAACTTAGCGCGAAAGCTTGTATTCGAATAATTACATTATTCACAAGTTGTATTAAAGACGCTACGTTCATTAGCCGCCATTATGATAATAGCATTCTTTATACTAAATAACTTACTTATATTAGGTACATTTAGGTATATTTTAAAGATTTACCACCATCCCATCACCCCACCTAATTTTAAGTTAAAATTGAGTCCAGTCGCAAAGATAGCTTATACGGCAGAATATCCCGCCAGAACCAGCCATCCTTACTTTACCTGCCTTAAGACCTTGTGATGTGTGTAGGCAAGCAGCAGCATACAAATTTAGAAAATTGCTAGACACATCATAATTAAGGAGACATCCCCACTATTACACACTAGATTGCCCCTGACGCAGGAATGTGAGTAGCCGACCTAACCCAATTCCCTATCCTGTGGGGTTCTGAAATTTTACGACCCGATTTAAGGCAGGGCATGCATGGATGTGGCCCAGGGGCCTCCACGAGAGAGAGACAAACTAAACCAATTTTCGACAGGGTACCAAGGGGTGGAGGCAAGTCTTCACATCTCTAAATCTGGCCCTTTTATTTTATAACGCAGGTAAAAAATGCTGTTTACAGACGATAGCGCCTTTAAGAGGCACACCGCCAAACGGACCTCACACCTGGCTCCCGCAAGTCTTACGAACGCCCCAGTGGCTGCCCATCGAGGACTCCACAACTCTTGCGGGTGCTTTACGGCATAATATCCGCTAAAAAAGTCGTGCGAATACCTTCTACACTGCTTAAGCGAAGCCGCGGGGTCCCCGTTTAGGTATTCTACCACTATCTAAATCTGGCCCTGGGAATCGAACTCAATACTCACCACCAGATACACACAACACCACCAAGCAATAGTGCTACAATTACAGTGGTCATATGTAAGGATTAGGTTACTTTCCCAGGCGGTCACACAATTTTTTTACATTTCTGGAAAAGGCTTGACGCCTTCCTTCGCCACCACGAGCGTGCGACGAATATATCTGTGGACTCCTCCCTACCCATTCCTCTCTACCTGTCCTAACACATAAGAAACAAATATCTCTTAAGACGAATTACGTGAATACTACCTTTACCGTAATCTAGTAGATAAGTAATAAATGATTGATTGATAGATTGATAGATTGATAATATCCCGTAATTAAATACAAAACCATTGTCAACCTAGCATTCGTGCTGCGCTGAGATGCAAGCGGCTTAAAGGTCCGTATGAGCGTGGGATAAACCACACATTGACCGGAGTAACTCGTCGCTTATAAATTGGGTGTAAATATTTACTCGAAAGTAGACTCTATGATTGAACAGAAATAAGTCAAGATGAGATCACGAAAATTAAAATACTTTTCTACATTATCATCGATCAGGGAATGACTGGCTTATAAGAAACCAAATAGTTATATGATTATAGCTTAAGCTTAATTATTAAAGAGCTTGGTCAAATATTGTAAGTAAATAAAACATACTTTTTAAACGGAGCCTTCGTGTCAATACATGATTGGCAAAGCATCAAAGATGCAGCTTTAGGGTAAAAACCATAGAAGATCACGAGTTAAGATTTTTCTAAGAAAACCATCTTGTTTCCTTTTTTAGAAAAAAAGGAAGCCAGTGTCTCTCGTCGTGACGGAAGGATTCAACATTTCATTTAAAAGTGATGGCTGAAACGCACCATGAAACATACATAGATACTAAAACATACACGGCAGTCGTGTAAAAAATTATAAACGCTCTCTTCCATACCCAGACCTCAAAGGGATATACGGCTTTGGCATTGTAGGAGAGATCGCATTCAGACTGTACAAAACTATTTTAACAAGTGTCCGAATCGTCAGTGAAAAATATATTAAAATGGAAATATGTCGATTCGGATACTCTGTCCGAAAAAGAATTGTGTCCGTATCGTCACCTACTGGTACAGACTCTAGTTGGAGAACTCTGTGTCTTGAAAGCACCAAGAGATGACCTGCAATCTTAGCCAGCTATCTGTTGAGTGAACACAAAGTTCATTCAAAAACGTCGGTCAGTTTCGGTAAAACTTATCACTTCCCACCAAGATAACCTCAAGTTATCTGGAAAGTGGCGTATCCATATTAGTCAATTAGAACCTCAACTGTGAACTTGTTATCGAGAGCATCCGGTAGATAGTTTTATCTGGCAATAAGTACTTAAATCTCTGAAATTGATGATTTTTATTATTTCTTATAAAATGTTATCTATACAAAGCGTTAAATAGGTTTTGTTTATTTATTTTTTTCATGTTAAAAGGTGGCAAACAATCTCATGACCCGCCTGATGGTACATGTCACGGCACGTAACTCTAGCGCTGAACAAAATGCGGAGGGGATAGCTGCGCGTGGGTACGATTGGAGAGCCAATCGGCGCAACGCACGCCCGCCCGCGCACCTCGTTTCCCCCCAAGACATCTTAATTTTTACTTCTGCGCAATAAAGGTCAGCGCTAGAGTTGCGTGCCATTACTTATAAGCGGTACAATGATAGACTTGCGATACAATAAATATCACTCCCGCCGTTACCTATCCTGACCCAATCGATCCATTACCCCGTGGAGCCCTGGAACTTTACTCAGCGACAGAAACACAACACCCACTAAAAGGTAGTGTTATTTTACTGTGATGGAGGTAACTTCCCCAAATAGGCGTTCCTATTCCAGCGGGAAATCTAAGCTATGCCCGACCTCTCTTAAAAATTAAAGCACTGATTTTACGGGTACAGGCCTTTCTGTGGATGGAATAAGGAGAATGGGCTAACAACTGCAGATGCAGCACCCGCCTTCTGAAGTACGGAGAAGCTCGAGATGATATTTTTTTGTCACCCATCCAATGAATGATCTTTGCGAAAGTTGCTAACGTCGCTTGCGACCAGTCGTTTAAAAAATCACCTATTTAAATCAATGTATAGTAATTTAAATCTAAAAAGAATTTTAAGAGAATGCCCACTCAAAATTCCACTCGCTCCAGATACTATTATATTCTGGTCATTTCATAATTATTATTACTCACCTTTACTTTTGAACACCTAACGTGTTTACCGTTCGCATAAAAATATCATAATTAATTAAATGCCCCTTAAAGTGACCAGTCATGTACCTACGGATTATAATAATATTTTGATTGAAAGTAATTCTGCAGAACAACGTTCCATCGTTTAAAAAACATAAATGTTACACATATATGTTATGTTGTTTGTTTCTTATTGCCATAGATGATTAAGTACCCAATGAAAACAACATTGTGTTATACGCAACATCAAAACTTTCCATAATTGACTAATTAACAATGACTTTGTCAGATGGATACCTTTTAACCAAGGATTGATAAGTATTACTATCTCGTAAATAAAATATAACAATTTTTCTTGTCAAAAACAGTTTTTATTTCACAGCACTGGTTTAAAAATTCTCAACCAAAACACATTACCGTATCTTTTGTTTTCGGTCTTCCTTTTGCTTTTTAGGTGTCACCGCGGGACAAACAAATGAATTCAACTTTTCACCTAAAACATAGAAACTCAAACCTATCGCTATGCTGGCAATGAAAAACACTATTCTGGCTGGTAGGTTGAGTACACTAAATATTGGGTAAGGCCACGCGCCCATGCGTTCATAAAGAATATGCATCCAAACTAAATAGCTGACAAAAAATGTTAGGGCTACGGTGACCCCTACTTTCCTCGGTGGGTAAGTTTTATTGGTCAATAGCAACTCTAGAAGTATAGACAACGCTACAACAGTGTGCATCGAGTGATTTAACCATGTAGGGAAGAGTTTAGCGATCCTCTCCGGGAATATGAGCTCTTTGTCGAAGTGGTAGATGCTCCAGAAGCTACCGGCGACGTAAACAGCCATTGTGAACGCCAGGCCAAAAAGGGTATCTTTCAAGAGCCTTATGAGTGGTGGCTTCCGGGGCGAAGCTTCACTAGATCCCACCAAATCATTCAGGAGTGCCACGAAGAAGTATACTGTTTGCAGGATCTGAAACAAGCAAGTTGTGTTAAACAATTAGAGATAGAATAAAGCAATATTTGTAGATTCCCCATATTTTAGTTTTATTACTAATCATTGTTACAAACACGAGTTGGCACGAGGAACAAACATTGAGCGGGTGAAATCTGTGTTGTTCTATAAATTTCCCTATATAAAAAGTTGCTCAATATAGCGACTAGTAATTTTTTTTTTCGGAAACAACAGCTTGTTAGTGCACGTGGACTAATTTTTATTTAAAGTCACTCATTAGGTAAACAATTTCTACTACTATCAACATCTGAATCTGTATGCCGAGTTGGCATTGGCAGCATGCATGTAACACCTTTTGCTTTTTGCCAAATCGAGAAGTCTTGAATAATATAATATAAATTTTAAAAAGTCGGGATTTTGGGGTTCTTGTCTGGAGAATTGCAACAAGTAATGCAAAATATGTAAACCAAAATGAATAAGGTAGTCAGTGTACGAGCCCACGTCTCGTAAACCATTTACAAATAACTTGTGTATTGTCATGTTCTTTGACGGGAGATTTCGTTCTTGCCCGGGAGTCGGCAGATTGGATAATACTTATTTCGGGAGGATTTATGCGATTCCCGACCATCTGGCAACCCTCTCTGGACCGCAAAGCAATTTACTAAAGTTGTAATATTATGAAAGAACAGTCAAAGCGGGACAGCGCAAAAACTAACTTTCACAATCAGAGTTGACATACATCTTCCTTAATTTCATCAAATTGTTTAACTGAGGAATCCTCAAGGAAATCAATGATTCATCAAAATCCATATCCTAAAATATTATGTTAGAATTTTCAGGAAGGTAGAGTAGGTAATACAATACAAATTGTATGAAATAACATATCTCCTACAGGAATTACTACAGAGATTGTATTAATTTACATAGTATATTAATAATATGTAGTCAAGCCATTTATTCCATGAAAACAATATTAAATTGTGTCGGACATTGTGTAAAATACATACAATAAATTTAATTTATAAGTCACATTACAGTAAAACTTCGTCATCATCAGCCTATTAATTGCCCCACTGCTGGGGCACAGGCCTTCCCTATTCTTCACCACGCGGGCCCAGTGCGGATTGGTGGGTGCAGTCGTTAACTGCAGATGCAGCAGGGACCAACGGCTTAACGTGCCTTCCGAAGCACGGAGGAACTCGAGATAGCAGATTTTTGGCCACCCATCCCATGACCGACCATTGCGAAAGTTGCTTAACTTCAACTTTCGCAGCCGAACGCGTTAACCACCCGCGCCATCGAGCTCCTCAATAAATTATAACTTATAAATAATTAAAAATATGTGATAACAATTAATTTCAATTTAAGCTTAAAAAATATCAATATCATTTATCACAGTTATTTCATTATAATGGGTATACAAAAATAAAGGTATAAATATAGGCAAATGAAAGCTAATTAAAGTCATTAATATTCAAATATATTTAAATAAATATCATATGTTTGTTTTAGTTTAGCAAATAGGTACCTAAGCAATATTGATTTATATTAACAAACTCGATGACATTATTATTTAGGAATAGCGGACTCGACAAATGTTGTCTTGCCCGATAAAAGTATAAAAAATCCTAACTTTATATATTAGCCTACCTATCCGGTAGAGCTGCAAGTTTTCGTAAATTTCTAGGTTTCTACGCATCTTTGTAGGGTTCCGTAGCCAAATGGCAAAAAACGGAACCCTTATGGATTCGTCATGTCTGTCTGTCCGTCCGTATGTCACAGCAACTGTTTTTCTGAAACTATAAGAACTTTTAAAATTTGTATGTAGATGTATTCTGTGAACCGCATTAAGATTTTCACACAAAAATAAAAAAAAACATTAAATTTTGAGGGTTCCCCAAACTTAGAACTGAAACTCACATTTTTTTTCATCAACCCCATACGTGTGAGGTATTATCTATAGATAGGTCTTCAAAAATGATATTGATATTCTCCAATATATTTTTTTTTCTAAACTGAACTGAAGTTTGCCCGAGAGACACTTCCAAAGTGGTAAAATGTGTGCCTATATGTATAGAATAGATATATTTAAACCCTATATATCTCAACTAAGATCTGAAGTGAACTAAACATATCGTGAATACAAATAAATACAGCTCCATCTATGTAACAAATGGAGAAAGCATTTAATATATAGTACCACATTGGACACAATATTAACCAAAGCCAATTTTGTATTTTTCTAAAAAATAGAATTATCTAAGTAGTAGGATTCCCTATAATTCTTATTTTTATGATGATTTTATAAATCAACGCTTAATCCACAACATACTTATGATATATGAATACACTATCATTAAACCGCGTAGCAAATCGTTCCGATACGAATTAATATATCTACACAGACACTTTTGAAGTAAGTACCTAATGAATAATGAACACTTGTTATCATATACTTTGTAATCAATTAAATCGTATATTTATCTCTATAATAACAATCTGTTTCAATTTATTTAACGGTGAGAGATAAAAATTATGTGTATTCGCGTAATAGTAAAATGTAAGTACTAATAGCAAATTCTGTAAACAGTTTTGTACGTAACACGTAAAGATCACAAGACATCAGGAGTCGTTTTAACTTAACTTTAAGTTAGATAGATAGATTTTTAGGGTTCCGTAGTCCTGACAAGAAACCCTTATAGTTTCGTCATGTCCGTCTGTCTGTCCGTCCCTGGTTTTGCTTAGAAACTGTTGGCACTAGAAAGCTGTAATTTTGCGGAGGTATGTATTTCAATCACGCTGGCAAAGTAGAACAATAAAATTTTGAAAAAAAAATTTTTTGCGTTACCTACCCTACATGTAAATAAGGGGTGTTTTTTTTTCATCGTCTACCCCATCGTGTAGGGTATCGTTGAAGAGGTCCGCTAAAATGGCTTGGGGGTTGCTAAGGCCCGTATTATAGAAAGATTCTCAGTAATTGATCTAGTCTTGAGCATAGTTAGAAAGGGAAGTCGCTATATATAGCACATAACGATATCCTCCTCCCTTTCTAACTGTACTCAAGTAAAGCTCAACACTTAGTTGTCATTCTGTAATACGGGCCTAAGATTAATTTTCTATGTAGGGATCCGTTTGAGAAATATTTCACTTTAAAGTGCAAATTTTTGTTCGAGTTTAGCACCCAAAAGTTAATGTTATTTTACAGTGAACTCCTGTAAGGTGGAGGTTACTTCCCCAAACGGGCTCTCCAAGTCGAGCGGAAAATCCGATACGCCCACCCTCTCAAAGGGAAGTCCTATGTCTAACAGGTGGGCAACAATCTGTTAACGATAATTTTAATCTTATCAATTAAAGAAGTGCTGATTGTCCAGCTAGATTGAGGTAGGTCACAAATTCTTTATTTCATAAACCCAAATAAAATATAAAAAAATGGGTGCGTGTACTTATGTAGGCGCGTGAGAAGTTATCCTTCTTTGGCATCGTTTAAAATTAGTTTTTAATTGCACGCAAATAATTAATTACAATAAATTAATAAAAAGTCTGGAAAAGGACACAGTCAAGAAAGTTCAGTTTTAATTTGAAAAAATTAATAAATAATCAAAATATTCAATTAAAATCGCTACTGAATATAATTTATTAGAACATATGTGATTTGCACTTGTATGAAACTCAAACACGTATTCCGAATATACAAACTAGAAATATGTGGATAAATATTATAAATATGAATACCTATAACTGTTACTTTATTACAAAAAATAAAGATGTGGTTTTTGGTTCTACTACACCAATGGTCAAGAGATGGCGCTGTAGTCTCCTGAATCGCGCTTTGATTCCGTTGTTCCAGATTAATAAATACTTTTGATATTATAAATATGAATACCTATAACTTTTACTTTATTACAAAAAATAAAGATGTGGTTTTAGGTTCTACTACACCAATAGTCAAGAGATGGCGCTGTAGTCTCCTGAATCGCGCTTTGGTTCCGTTGTTCCAGATTAATAAATACTTTTGATAGACCTTCACAATGCAGTCGTTAGCACCCACTAAATAGGGATTCTATTTCTATTTTGGTGGTAGATTTTCTTAATGTGCGGTAAACACAAAAGTAACGCATGAAGTTGGTCGCTAAAGCGAAGCGATTCACAATAATAATATGAGATATGCGTATTCCTTTTTCAAAAAGATGTATAATGCTTTATATACAATCTCAATGGTGTAAACACAGATGTGGTTGAGTATAAATTTCGGTAAGTATTCCAAATTTAAATCACCTTCTCCCCCTAGAGGATGAATGAAATTCAGTACAATTTTCTTTCCCTGTTTTTAACAGATTAAAGATGACTATTGTTATATTCGCTTTTTGTGGCATAGAATGTCACTTTTTTGAGCAAGTGGTACGAAAAATAATTTTATTATAATAGGCACTACAGATGACAATCAAAATATTAAATACAACATTTTACATTATCAGTTTACAAAACTACGGATTGTGATGTGACCTTGATACGTAAAGGAGAGATAACGGTTCATTTAGATAAAAGACTTCGCCTATCACAGAAAAAGGTCTGACTGAGATTTTTATAAGTCCGCTTTTATACGAATATTGTGTCAAGTCATGGGCTAAAACTAAGAATATGAAATCATCCCCAAGTAATCCAATCATTTTTGATATGAAAAAGGAAAATCATCCGAACAACATTCCCGTTTTTTTGCTTTAGCTCAAATTACTTGGTAGCTCGAATAATAAATAAAAATAGTCGGATAGCTTTTTTATATCCCAAACACGCTCTAATTTTTTTGATAGAAACGTTGGATAGAAAGTTCGTATTTTTTTTCTCCTTATTTTGATATTATATCGCAAAGTTGCCTAATTTTCAACCGAGAAATTCCAACTCAAAAACATTGCTGTTTCAAAAAAAATGGATGCGCTGGGTGGAACTTCTACTTTCAGGTGGTATAGAAAAAATATGTTACTATGGAAGAATATTCAGAAAATGCAAAAGATTCTCTGCCTTTTGACGGAGAAAAACGGTTAATTGCGAATTTGGGGAACTCTACAACTTATATGAAAAAAAACAATAATGAAATTGTAGGTTATTAAAAACTTGTATTTTCACTAAGGATGATTGATATGATTTTATAAAAAAAAAACGTTTTAATATTTAGCAGAAGTGTTGAAATAAATGCAGGTTGAAATAATTTAGGTTATGTGAAAAAAAAAAGTACAAAAGCTGTTCTACAGCTTTTGTACTTTTTTTTTAATAAATTGTCTACAATATTGCCATTATAATTTTTCGATATGTATAAGTATTCGGTATGAGTTGTACCGAAAATCGCGATAAACCGTTCTCTCCCTTACGAGGGAGACGACCAAGGTTCTTTCCATACAAACGTTCCCGACAGATTCCTCCTTAACTTTTCTCACTAAAGAAATGATTTTCATACACAAGATGCTCCTACGTCTTCCTTTTTTCGATAACTTCTGTTTCAAATAATCTAAAAGCTCTCAAAAATAAAAAAAAACAATATCACCACTAAAGACGTCTAGTGTGGAGATTCAATAAGCATTGACAAAAAAGCAAAACATAGAGGCCTAGTTTAACTACTTATTATTGTATGGGTAAAATTTCATTTAGATATATATCTAATTTTCGAGGAGGAAATCGTCGAGAGCCAGACCTCGAATTTTGCAATTTTTATACGCAATTTCGTGAGCTACTGTTGTCCCTATCGCACGGTATTTGCCAATGCGTGATAGCAATAGTTTTTTTAAAAACCTACTTCTCAAATGTCTCTTAGGTATGTCATCCTCTCTTCGCTTCACTTCTCTACCCCTTCTTTCTTTTTCCATCTCGGAGATACCACTCTTTTGTCCATATGACTCGAATACGAATACACAACTTCTTAGGTTTTTTCCTACGATCAACAGTTTTTGCCTTAGTACCTACCTACATCGTGTAGGTAATTATTATTTGCACGATCGGCTTCGCAATGAGTAAATTATGCAGTTATTTCTAACAATACTAATTGTCTTATCGTCATGTTAGGTCATTCATCAAGTTAGTCAATTCATCAAGTTTATTTCGTTTATTAAATATTGTAGGTACTGTACTACAGGAACTGTTACTATACTTGAGGTAAAAGTACTTTTTAATTTTTATCTCCGTCAAAAAGTTATTACATGGTTAAACTAAGCATGTTTTTAAATTCTAGAGGCGTGTAAAGTAGAAAATAGACTGATATTGATGTAGGGCATGTAGAGTTAGAAGTTTTGCTCTACATGAGATCATGTACCCATAGCACGAACCATTATCGAATTCGAATAGTTTGCGAGTCTGAAATGTCATTGTCAAATTTTGTATGGAAACTTGAGCAGACGCGCCATAATGGACGTAGCGACTAAAAATCAGTAGGTACACATTTGACAATGACATTTAGTACTCGAAAACTAAACGTTTCCAATTCGATATTGGTTTGTGCTAAGGGTAGATAACGTTTTGACAGTGCGAGTCATATGGTCTCGTCTTGGTAACATTTTGATGTAAAATGTGTTTTGACCGAGACGAGACCCATGTGTTTTGGTTTTTAGGTTTTGAAATGATAAGACACCAAGGTCATTTATTGTCCACGTGGAAGGCGACAGTGATGCTTGAAGATATCAACCGTTATTGTCGACCTTTGATACACTTGCTTTGTTTCTGTCTAAGTAATACGAAAAATAAACGAACAATCAAAGATCGACAGTGATGAGATTGTATATATCGAAATGGACGTGTTGGATTGGGAGCCTAGGAGGACACCCAAAAAGATACAGAGAAAAATACCAGCAAGGTCTTTCCTTAATTCAGTGACTTCGCAAAACCATGCCATTACCATTTACTTGATGGCAAAAGTGCACCAATAGCTCATTATACGCTAGTGCGTTCTCATTTCCCATAGAGATGAAGTTTAAATCCCTACTCCCTAGTCCAACGCTCCTAGTCGCGGAAATTCCAAATGTTTAGTAGAGTCTCTTATTTCTGCTATTAGTATTATTTAATTATCTTTATAAAAACCTTAGAAAATATAGGCGTTTGTCAGAAATAAGAAGAAAAATAGTTCCTAATAAAATAAGTAATGACCATTGATCTCTATCCCTCCTCAGTTAGACTTAGGACCTGTAGAACAGGTTTTTAAAAAATACCTACACCGCACCGGTTTCTCATACTATTGATGCTGTTGGTCAAATAGTTGTAATCTTTATAAGTTTTTAAAAATTTGAATTTTGACCTTGGAGTTAAAGGGAAAATATAATTATGATTAAAGCCTCTTAAATAAAATCAAAGCTTTTGTGACAGTACTTTTAAAAATCGTTATCAAAATTACAACAATATCAAGTGATCTTTCAACAAGAGAACTCCTAAATCCATACTAATAAATATTATAAATGCACCTCTTCACGCTTAAACCGCTGAACCGATTTACATGAAGTTTGGTATAGATATAGTTTGAGTCCCGTGGAAGGACATAGGATAGTTTTATCATTACACATTTCACAAGGGGGGGAAAGGGATGGTGGAAGTTTGTATGGGAAATCAATTAAAATAGCCAGTTAGTAAATAAATATTCACAAAAGTACCTACCAGACACCATATCGTGAGGAACATCAGGCGAGCCCTGAAGGGCATACTTTCATACCCCTTCGCCGGCAAGGGCAAATCCAAGTATTGCTGATCGTACCATAACGAATACGCGTACAGCGAAAACACAGATAAATGAAATATTGGTAACAACATTTTATACGCACACTGGACCTGTGTCACGAAACGTTGACGAGTTACTGACCGGCTGTTCGGTATATCGCGGGTCGTGCCTACGTTATCTAGCGGAGCTGTCATGATGTTGCGGTCGAGTATTGTTTTACCTTGCCGCCTTTTAAGTAAGCAAGTCTGTCTACCCTAGATAACTTTCGAATGACCCGGTGTAAGTCTGATACCCTAGGCACCTACTAAAAAATTCGGGAATGAAAAACAGAAGTGAAACTAAGTAATTTGTTTATATAAGAATAAAGTGTATGATTGATTTTGTTACAGAAGCGTTGTTCTGTTCATAAAGACGGAAAGACGATAATAGTTTCAGCAAGCAAATATTTTTTAATTTAGTACCATATTGTTGTGGTCTGCAAATACTTAAATAAGTACCTACCTACCGATTTAACCACGTATATCTCTTATCTACCAACTATTCAAATGAATGAATAACGAATGAAGCACACAACTTAGATTAAATCAAAACATTAATACTTAGACAACGCGTCATGTTTCAGTGCATTTTCTAGGTCACGCGCAATATTATTGTAATGGGTCAAAACAGCCATCATAGCGTGGCGCTTAATCGCGAAACAAAAAAACTCGCATATTACCTTACCTGCGCTCATACGCTAATCCGATCTCCTACCCAGTGGATGGAGTTCTGGAAGGAAAGCGACAGAAATACAGTACCACCAAAAGGTATTAGTGTTATTTCTCTATGGTCCCCTGTGAGGTGGATGCTACTTCCCTAGGCTGGCCCTCCAATTCATGCTGGAAATCCGCTATGCCCTACTTCTCTTACCTCGAGGATGGGTGTCGACAGTGCCGTCTTTGACCTATTGGAGGCCCTGGGCATATTAGGATAATGGGGCCCCTACGACTTACGTTTGGTGATTTAACTAGATACTTTGTATTTGATCTGAGGGGGCCCCCTATCGATCGCAGGGCCCTGGGCACTTGCCCAAAGTGCACACTGGGATAGACGGGTCTGGGTGTCGATTTCGGGAAACTAAACTACAAATTTTCCTAGAAATATTATTTTCCTTCATTATCACTCACATAAATATATTTCACTTAACAAATAAAACAAAACTGTGACAAAATAGTCTTTTTAATAACAATTATTTATCAAAACTATTCCTTTAATACTTAACAAAAAAAAATCATGATTGACTAAATTACAACTTCAGACTCAAAACCTTTCACAAGAAAGGAATTTATTATTTCATCATCATTATCTTCAATTTTCTTTTTTCTTCTTCTTGGTTTTTTGTATTTCGTTTTTATTGAATTAATTAAGCTCATCTTAGTACTACATTTTGCATAAATTGCACACATACTCTTATAAAACTTAATGACAGTATAAGAACCACCCAAATATTGTTCTATAAATTTCAACGGATCATTTTGATTTTCTAACTTTAATGCAATATTATAGACAAATGTGCCATTGAAGCATTTATGATATTTTGTACTTTCGAACGGGTTTCGACAGACACAGTTCAATGAGTTGAATTGTAATAAACAACACTGGAATTGAGCAAAATTGTGCATTTTTTTAACATCATAACTTTTGGGTCTCCTGTGAATACTCTCATCTAAATCAAAATGTTTCAGTAATGCATTGGCAGCTATCAAGCAATCTTCATATTGTACTTTACATTTGTTTAAAAAAAAATCATCTCCGTCATCAGATATGTATTTGCGATTAGCTTTTTTTAACTCCTCTATCTTTTTAGAATAATTCTGTACAAACTGCTTATGACCTCGGAAAGTTCCAGTTCTCTCATCAATCACTTCCAACATTACATAGCATACAAACAAACTGTGGACATGAGATAAAGGTACATCACATTTCATTACCCACCAGATTATAGAAATCATATATAACTGAAAATTAGCTGGTAGAAGACCAATGTCGCACAAATCTAAACTTGGTAGTTTCTCTGCTATAAAAGTTTGGAAATACATATGTAACTGTTCAACAGATAAGTCTTGAAAGGGCACCTCCAGTGGCCTTGAAATAGAATGCTCTCTTTCCACAAGGATTCTTTTGTAATTGGAGTCTTTTTCTCTAGAAACATAAGTGCAATATTCAAAAGAGAAGTCAGTGAGAATATCAAATATGTACCTTAATATAGGTAAGGCACATAAAAAGGAATCTTCATCAGTGTAATCCTCTGCTTGAGGATTACAAAAGTATAAATGATGAGTGAAAAGATTCAAGTGTGATTGCGGTATAAAATTATTCCTTACTGCTTCAGCATACCAATCAGGTTGGTTACGTTCATCATCAACTATCTCATCCTCTACAGAAGAGTCACCAGTATCATCTTCTGAAGAATCATCATTTGCAGAGTCTTCAACAGTGTCATCAAATGAATCATTGTCAATATTAGCAATCAATTTATATTCTTTGCTCTCATTTGTAGCATTGTCATTACAGATATTAAAATATTTAAGTGATCTGCAATGTTTTCTATTATAACCATCGATACTCCTTTTGATAACAACCAAAACTTTATCTTTATGAGCTTTCTTAACTCTGCCTAATATTTTTGATATTGCTGTATCTAAAGTTTCATTCTGCAACCATTTAAAAATACCATTGATGCATCTCTGCTGTTCGTTTTTACACTTTTTACTCTTTGGTAGTTTTAACTGTGTAAAAAATTTGTTGAATACCTTTTTCTCAACATAATCATTGCCCAATAACGTTGCCAACAGTGGCAACATCGCTTCTTTGAGTCCACCAAAATTTTCAGTCAGATGTTGCACTGTATAGATCTTGCATTCCATAGCCAATATTTTAATACCATCAACATAAAATGGCTTAGCTTTACGTTCTAATGTATTGAAAGGTACATACAAAACATTGTATATGAAAAAGTCAGAATCGTAACTTAATACAGGACATTTTAAGTTCCTTGCCATTGTGGCAATCTCATCATCTGCTTCAAATTCACATACTGTAAATGGTATATTCATCTCTATGAGAACTTGCTTGAAGACGTCTCTCAAGAGCAATGGAAAGATCTGGAGACTCCCCTGGGTTACAGCATCCAATCGAGAAGCACCGTTTATTTTGGATCTTAGGCGACTGTAAACTGTTTTCAGTTTCCTAGCTTCATGGCTGCCGTCAAATATGACAAACGCTGTAATATTACATTTTCTGAAGTTTCTAAGGAAATTTCGGACGTAAATAGCGTACTTGTCGTAATCACCGCCAAAAGCAGAAAAATAATTCAGTGATCGATATAGTTGGGCACACATACTGTTTCCATCTACGACGAGATTTGTATCATGGAGCAAATAATATTGTAGAAAGGCATCTTGATTTGAGTTAACATATGTGGTCAAACCTCGGACTCCCATTTTTAAAGAATCAGTATCAGGACATAAATGAGATATTTATTCACATATCGCTTATTTAGCTAAATTTATATGGTTACAAATGTTACAATGATTTTTTAGCAAAAAACCTACGCTTTTATTTTTGCGTTCATAACAACTGTCAATGTCAAGTATGCAAATTACTTCAACTGACTTTAAACTTTAAATTGCTTAGCATAAGATTTAATTTTAATTATAAATAATTGTACTAACTTAAGTGTTGCTGCCTATACTCTGTCTTCCTCAAATTACGTGCCATTCTTCTACACTCCAGTTGGGGCTTATGTCGTCTTATGCCAGCACTTCACATGAATGTTGATGTTTGCAGTTTGTCGTTTTAATTCTAAAATAGTGCAAAGCCAGTGTTTTATGGAACCAAAAAAATTTTCATGTTCAGGTTCTTACATAAATAGATTATTTATACCATAAAAAGGCATGAGTTCAATTTACAGAAGTCTAACTCAAATACTTTTTGAGAAAAAAAATCATGAATTTATCGTGACCTTTGACCTATGAAATCTAGAATATTTTTTTATAAAGTGAATATTAACAATATATTTTTTAAATAAATATGTGTCAATCGGGCATAATCAGAGGTGTATAAACGCGTTTCTTTAGCTTAAAAAAATGCATTGGTTTGGGAGCAGCAATTTTTTTTTGTATTTCATATTTATTGTTTTTTCTCCCTAAAAACGAAAAAGTGGAACCTAGAACTTAGATAGAAATAAACCTACGGATGTGGTCTATCATACATAAATAAGCCACGTGTCACTTTTGCGGCGTTTAGAAGATATTAATTTTTATGCTAGGGTTGACACCGAGTGTTTTATAGAACCAAAAATATTTACACCTTAAGGTTTTTGCATAAATCAATTATTTAAACCCTAATAAAGGCAAGAGTTCAATTCCCAGATCACTATTTTAAGTAAAAAAAAAAAAGATATGAAGTAGCAAAGTTTTTGAAATTTGCGCATGAAAAAATTAACAATTTAATTTCCTCAAAAGACGGTTCCATATCTGTCCATGAGATATTTGCCACTTGCTAAGGAATTATTGATGGCATAATTTTGTAATTTTATTTTATTTATAAGTGTCCTAGTTTCCAAGAAATATAGTTTTTTTAAATTTCGATTTTTAATTTTTTTCTCCAAAAATCGGCAAAAGTGGAACCTGGTACAGAGTACAGAAAGGTTCTATAAGCCAAGTTCTATCACCCATAAAAAAATCAAGTTTCACTTTTGCGGTTTTAAGAAGTTATGACAGAATTTAGATAAAGGTCAACTTTCATGATCTAGGGTTGAAAAATATGTCCGTTTTTATAGTTGGCACCCGATGACAGTAATAGTTCATAAAATCCTCATGCCCGGTGAAGAAATTATTGCGTCCAGTGCACTGCCCATCGGTATACTATCTGAACAAGCAGCTGAGTCCCGAAATAAATTCTGGCGTTCAGACAGAGAGCATCATTGCCGAAAAATGAACAGGAGAACCACAATGACGGACCTCTTTCACCGTGCCCTAGAATCATCAGACCCGTTTATTTCTATGGCAAATATCAGCCAACGTCGAAAATATTCTAAGCGATTTCCCTTGCCTTCAGCTGTTTGCGAGCTCTTACAACCAATTAATGCAGATCGATTGCCGTTATTCGAAGCAGAGGAAGATGCTGAAGATGAAGATTTTTCGCACGTCGCAAATGAAAGCAACCTAGAATTATTAAACGACGATGATTTATTTGTATAAAAGTTAAAGTAGAGGTGTTGCATAAAGAAGGTGCCGGCAGGTGATGACACTATCCTAGATTGATTTTAAATGTGAATGAATTTCTAAATCCAAAATTTCATCACAATCGTTAGATCCGTTTCCGAGAAACCAATTACATACCAATATATTTATATAGGTACATACAATAATCGCTCGTTTATATTAAAGGATGTGTGTTAAATTTTTTCAAACAACATAGTTTATTTTTTCGTTGCCATTTAGCGTGTAAGGCAAAATTAAAATGTGGTCGTCAAAATTAAAACATAAAGTATTCCTACATTATCACATCTACATTAGGTAGGTAGTATATGTAAGTATATTGTATTCGTCTATAAGTACAACACTTATTCAATTATAATATAATATAATTTATTCAATTGATTGACGGTATTAATAACAAAAAAAAATAACATTTTCATTTAACTCATAGTTGACCTTTGTGACAACCCTAGATCATGAAAGTTGACCTTTATCTAAATTCTGTCATAACTTCTTAAAACCGCAAAAGTGAAACTTGATTTTTTTATGGGTGATAGGACTTGGCTTATAGAACCTTTCTGTACTAAATCCAGGTTCCACTTTTGCCGATTTTTGGAGAAAAAAATTAAAAATCGAAATTTAAAAAAACTATATTTCTTGGAAACTAGGACACTTATAAATAAAATAAAATTACAAAATTATGCCATCAATAATTCCTTAGCAAGTGGCAAATATCTCATGGACAGATATGGAACCGTCTTTTGAGGAAATTAAATTGTTAATTTTTTCATGCGCAAATTTCAAAAACTTTGCTACTTCATATCTTTTTTTTTACTTAAAATAGTGATCTGGGAATTGAACTCTTGCCTTTATTAGGGTTTAAATAATTGATTTATGCAAAAACCTTAAGGTGTAAATATTTTTGGTTCTATAAAACACTGTGCCACAGCGACTTTCAGCGGGAAAACACAGTGCAGCGTGCGAGCGATTGGTGACAAGCGACCACCGACTGCATCGGTGTAAGTTTAATAGTTAATCCTGTGCAAACTGTTTGTATTCTTCGTTATTTACCTACCTATCACTAGAATGGATAATACAGTAATAGAAGTACATACATACTCTTATTGTTCTTACTCCATAATTTCGAAACACAATAACTTACATGATATTTTTTATGTTTTTGGCGACGGTTGCGTATTGCTTGTATTAAGCCGTCTGTGTTCAATAATTATTACCAATAAAATATATATTATTACCGTAATAGCACTGCCCTAAGCAGTCGCAAGCGACCTGCGGAGACTGGTCGCTAGTCGCTGACACGCTGCAATGAGCTATTTAGATATACAATTGTACATGTTGTAGCAAGTAATTGATTTCCCATATAAACTTCCACTCCTATCTTCTTCCCCACAACAATCTTTCCTTTGCACAGTGTTTTATAGAACCAAAAATATTTACACCTTAAGGTTTTTGCATAAATCAATTATTTAAACCCTAATAAAGGCAAGAGTTCAATTCCCAGATCACTATTTTAAGTAAAAAAAAAGATATGAAGTAGCAAAGTTTTTGAAATTTGCGCATGAAAAAATTAACAATTTAATTTCCTCAAAAGACGGTTCCATATCTGTCCATGAGATATTTGCCACTTGCTAAGGAATTATTGATGGCATAATTTTGTAATTTTATTTTATTTATAAGTGTCCTAGTTTCCAAGAAATATAGTTTTTTTAAATTTCGATTTTTAATTTTTTACTCCAAAAATCGGCAAAAGTGGAACCTGGATTTAGTACAGAAAGGTTCTATAAGCCAAGTCCTATCACCCATAAAAAAATCAAGTTTCACTTTTGCGGTTTTAAGAAGTTATGACTGAATTTAGATAAAGGTCAACTTTCATGATCTAGGGTTGTCACAAAGGTCAACTATGAGTTAAATGAAAATGTTAATTTTTTTTGTTATTAATACCGTCAATCAATTGAATAAATTATATTATATTATAATTGAATAAGTGTTGTACTTATAGACGAATACAATATACTTACATATACTACCTACCTAATGTAGATGTGATAATGTAGGAATACTTTATGTTTTAATTTTGACGACCACATTTTAATTTTGCCTTACACGCTAAATGGCAACGAAAAAATAAACTATGTTGTTTGAAAAAATTTAACACACATCCTTTAATATAAACGAGCGATTATTGTATGTACCTATATAAATATATTGGTATGTAATTGGTTTCTCGGAAACGGATCTAACGATTGTGATGAAATTTTGGATTTAGAAATTCATTCGCATTTAAAATCAATCTAGGATAGTGTCATCACCTGCCGGCACCTTCTTTATGCAACACCTCTACTTTAACTTTTATACAAATAAATCATCGTCGTTTAATAATTCTAGGTTGCTTTCATTTGCGACGTGCGAAAAATCTTCATCTTCAGCATCTTCCTCTGCTTCGAATAACGGCAATCGATCTGCATTAATTGGTTGTAAGAGCTCGCAAACAGCTGAAGGCAAGGGAAATCGCTTAGAATATTTTCGACGTTGGCTGATATTTGCCATAGAAATAAACGGGTCTGATGATTCTAGGGCACGGTGAAAGAGGTCCGTCATTGTGGTTCTCCTGTTCATTTTTCGGCAATGATGCTCTCTGTCTGAACGCCAGAATTTATTTCGGGACTCAGCTGCTTGTTCAGATAGTATACCGATGGGCAGTGCACTGGACGCAATAATTTCTTCACCGGGCATGAGGATTTTATGAACTGTTACTGTCATCGGGTGCCAACTATAAAAACGGACATATTTTTCAACCCTAGATCATGAAAGTTGACCTTTATCTAAATTCTGTCATAACTTCTTAAAACCGCAAAAGTGAAACTTGATTTTTTTATGGGTGATAGAACTTGGCTTATAGAACCTTTCTGTACTCTGTACCAGGTTCCACTTTTGCCGATTTTTGGAGAAAAAAATTAAAAATCAAAATTTAAAAAAACTATATTTCTCGGAAACTAGGACACTTATAAATAAAATAAAATTACAAAATTATGCCATCAATAATTCCTTAGCAAGTGGCAAATATCTCATGGACAGATATGGAACCGTCTTTTGAGGAAATTAAATTGTTAATTTTTTCATGCGCAAATTTCAAAAACTTTGCTACTTCATATCTTTTTTTTTTTTTTTTTCCTTAAAATAGTGATCTGGGAATTGAACTCTTGCCTTTATTAGGGTTTAAATAATTGATTTATGCAAAAACCTTAAGGTGTAAATATTTTTGGTTCTATAAAACACTCGGTGTCAACCCTAGCATAAAAATTTAAAAATTAATATCTTCTAAACGCCGCAAAAGTGACACGTGGCTTATTTATGTATGATAGACCACATCCGTAGGTTTATTTCTATCTAAGTTCTAGGTTCCACTTTTTCGTTTTTAGGGAGAAAAAACAATAAATACGAAATACAAAAAAAAATTGCTGCTCCCAAACCAATGCATTTTTTTAAGCTAAAGAAACGCGTTTATACACCTCTGATTATGCCCGATTGACACATATTTATTTAAAAAATATATTGTTAATATTCACTTTATAAAAAAATATTCTAGATTTCATAGGTCAAAGGTCACGATAAATTCATGATTTTTTTTCTCAAAAAGTATTTGAGTTAGACTTCTGTAAATTGAACTCATGCCTTTTTTATGGTATAAATAATCTATTTATGTAAGAACCTGAACATGAAAATTTTTTTGGTTCCATAAAACACTGTGTGTGGGCCTGTCCGAACGAAGTCGCGCAGCATAGCCGGCACGCCGCTCGAGTCTTTAGTTGGGTCCATCCACCCGTTTTCAGTTTCTAGACCCATCATATAGCAATGTAAGGTATATGGTGGCATAAGTACCAAGGATGCCAAAAATACGCTTAAAAATGACTAAACTTCATAAAATAAAAAAAACGAATCCTTGGCACTTAAATAATAGCATTTCGAGTATTTCCACGATATAGCATGGAAATACTCGAATACCCGGGGCTTAGCATCTTGTTTGGGCTCTGCAATTTTATTAAATTATCGATAAGCTACATACATTAGTACGGTTAGAATTATACTTGTTTTTCGCACCGTACTCACTCTAATCATACTAAATGTATGAAAAAGATAGCTCTCTGATATCTCCAAATACGTCAGGCAGGACACAACACGACAGATAAGTGTAATTCTGCCATTACTTGCTCAGTGAACTGTACAGTGCAACAAGAATCTTTATGAATGTGGCGAAAATTGGAACTAACGCCCGCCGCCGTCTTTGTAAACCTCTTTAGAGTCGGTCTAAAGAAACATGAACCTCCTATTTAATTTAAGTTTTGAATATGGCAACATTAGAACTGTCACCTTGACGTTACGAATTGGCAAGTTGTTGCTGCAATGGGTTTTGATACTTTCTTTAATTTGGGTATTTTATTTCTTTTATTCTTATCATAAGCATTGCTGTTGGTTACTTTCAGAAAGTGTGGACAATGTAGAAATAAAAGAACAGATAAAACACATGGTTATTCTTTCAAAATATAGTGCAACAAACGAGATGTCAGTACTTATATTATTTATTATTATATAATCAAACTACCAAAATACATGTACAAATCTCAGAGTTATGAAGTACAAAATACAAAAATATATATCCGTACTAAGCACCTTCCCCTTTTTTTAATTAGTTAATTTAATAAATATGTTAGTTAAAAGTATCAAGTCTATTTTGTCCATAACAAATTGGTGTTTACTTCACTTGACTATTCGCATTAGCTGTTTATATACTTGACAACAGTCTGTCCTTATCATATTCATATAGAATGAAAAGGATAGACTGATGCAAAGTTTACAAGTAGCTAACACGAACAGCCAAGTAAAGTGCTGGAATTTTAGGCCCGGTACGATATTGCTCTCATGCTCTGAGTCTGTGTATTGCTCGCGTGGGAATTGTACTGATTTGTATCACCACGTGTTAGAGCATTAAATTTGTATTTTTTCAAGTGTTTCAATTTATAATAGATACTTGTTTTTATCAACAGTTTACAACATTCTAAACGATTTATCCAAAACTGCAGACACAATGTAAGTAATTTGGATAATTGCGCCATAATTATTTCTTCGGTGGATCCTTACATAAAATTATTTTACAGAAAAATCACTATGACTGAAAAAGAAGCAACTACTGAAAATAATGGGCAAGATAATAAAGAGCAAGATGTTGACCAACAAGACAATAACGATAATGGAGCCATCGATAGTGAACTGGAGAGTGCTATCATACGCCAAGTGGAGTATTACTTCAGTAAGTAATTTTGAAAACCATTAAAATAACATAGTAAAACTAGGATAATGCAATTTTTAAGTCATATAATCCGAGTCTTAGTTTGGACCATTGAACACATTACAACATTTTCGCCTTACCTGATACAAAAACATCAAGTCAAGGAAAATTTTCCAAACTCTGTACCCTGTCTGCTTATTTTACCTGTGTGTGTTTGAGTTATTTTATGTTAGTGTTCCTTTATTTGAATATAATATCCCTGTGTCCCTGTCTATGTCACCAAAATCCTTAACGGCTAGACTAAATATGATGAAATTAGATGTAATGTGTCATTTGTGTGGGTTTCATCAAATTAGCTAAATTGATAACTGAGGCCAGACTTTTTTCTTGCTACAATCTTTTTCATTTCATAGCTGATTAGGTTTTGTCATGAAAACATAACCATAGTGTCACTAATATACTGTAAGAAATTGTTTAGATTGTTGTGCATATCAGCATAGGCCTAATCTAATGCGTGGTAAAAGTTTAGAAATAAGCTTCCTCGTTAGGGGTTTGGGGAGGGAGGAAGGGGTGGGGGGGGCCCCTATTCAAACCCTGTCTGCTGGAGATTCATAATTGTTTCAGGAAAAAAAAATGTAAACGTAACCTCAAAATAAAATATGCATTAAAAACAAGAGAGAGATGACATGTTAGGTTAGGGCTTAGGGGAATATGATAGTGGAGAGTGCACAAACAAAACAAAAGCTTTATTTTGTTTAAAAAAAATTACAACTAAATTTAAGGTTCATACTTCCAATTTTTTTTATAAAATCTAACCTATCAAGTGACCTACAGGACTAAGGCCAGTAAAACTGTACTTCCAGGGCCCAAGAGGTGATACTCGAACTATTTGTAAAAAGGGTCTCATAATTATTTTTTTCTGCCGCTTCGCCGGCCTCTGCAGGGGCACGCTAGCTTCGCTTACTTGGCTCGCACCTTATGGTCACAATACTAACCTAACCTATTGTGAAGTATCACCATTTGGGCCCTGGAAGTACAGTTAAGCCTTAAGGCCAACTAAAAGCTTCTGAACACCTCTGGTGCTGTGTAACAAACTGCAGACACTCCATGCTCACCTATGCAGTTACAGCCCAGGTTGTGGGTCCGTAATTCAAGACGTTGAGCCATATCAAAAACGTTCAGTGTCCTAATTCATAGCCAAGATCAGTAAAAAGGGTCGAAATCACACAAAAGGAAGCAGAGAACATTCACGGAAACCAAAACGTTTTGTTTCACGTTGTTCTGATTACTTTTTGCATGTCGTTTTACTTTTCTTCTAACTACATGCGTTTCGTTTCATTTAAAAAAAAAAATACGTAGGTACTATAGCGTTCTACCCAGAAGGGATAGGACCTGGGAGCGTAGTCGATAATTGAAAAATACTGATAGAGATAAATTGTTTATTTCTTTTTATCATTCAGGCGAATATAAAGAAATTTTATCTAAATACGAGAGGAAGTTCTTGGTGCCTGAAGATCTAATCTAGAATGGAACCTTCTATCAAAAGACAGACGATTCCTTATTTCAAATTAAAATCGTAACATTAACTTTTTAATATAACTGCCAACCGTAGGCATTGCAAAAGCAAAGAGTTTACTTAAACAAGGAGGCTGTAACGTCGGACGTCACATCCCTCCGGCACCTCTAAAAAAAAAATTGTTTTGTCATACCAGATGACCGAACAAAATTTTTTTTTCCTACCTACTACATCGAGAGGGTTCGACAGTCCTATCTAAATCCCTACCTGCTTAAGGACATAAATACAACTGGGAGGTGGCCTTTACTACAGACTAGCCCTCACAATAAGTTTGCAAAACTTGCAAAAAAAAAACTTTATGGGAAAAGAACCCTAACTGTTTGCAAAGTTTTATTGCAAAGACTTTACGGGAGCAAAACCTTAACAAAATCCCTCGCACATCTCCCTCCTAACCTTAACTTTACTTTACTTTACATCGACATCAGTCGGCAAAAACAAAAAAACAAAGCTAACCCTAGCTATAACTTAAATTACCCAAGCAAATTTTTTTTTTATCCCATCTATCAGCAAAACTTTACCCTATCCCATTTATTAAACCATTAAATATCAAGAAAATTTATATTTTGAAACTTCATTACTTCCCATACTAAGTAGATGTACGAAACGAAATTCAAACTATTTCCTAAGATTCGTAAACACTAACTGGATTTGAGCAAAACCTAAAAGAATTTATAAATAATGTTTACTTTCGTACATCTTTAATAAAGATACAGACGTGGTCCACCACTTTATTGTCTTGTACTTTATTAGACACCCATGATGCGCAAACGTAATAGAAATTTTGGGTAAGGACATCTAGCATCAAACAAGATTAAACCCAATTCCCATGGAATACTAAGGGTTCCCTACCCCCAAGTCAAACTACTACAAGTGACGATTTTGACGAACGCGACGCGACCAAATTGAAACGAAAACGACGCGAATTCGTAGAGGGTGTCTCCATCATCTTCAGGGTGGATCATCGTCAGTATCGCTGACGTCTGCATGAGCGCCAGCCTGCTCTCTCTCGGGAAGTCCGCATCATGTGGTAGTACATAAAACAATCAAGAAAATATTAGTAAAATTCTTTACACCATTTTTCTTCAGTCGGGTAAGTTAATATTCAAGAAAACATTTATGATAAATCTTTATAGCCTCTTTTCCATAGTTGGGTAAATTTTCAAAGTATAACATTATTATTCATTTATTTATTTATTTTTTTAACCTTACAGGGAATCGAACCCGTTTCCTTTTTTATAATAAGGGAATTTTCTTTATGGACCTATATTATCCTATTATACATTATTAACTATATATATTCTATCCTAATGCTGAATTAATCCTATCAATGATCATATTCAAAGTCAATTGAATAATTCCAAGTTGAACAGAGAATCGAACCTGTTACCTATCATTCTTATGGTTATTACGATATCAATAATCCACCTACTCAACAAATTACACTAAAGCTAACAATTAAAAGAAATGAAAATACTTTAATGAAACTACCTATTGATCTGTCATAAACAAAATGTGTAAAAGTTCCTTAAAATATGTGTATTGAAAAAAATTTCTAATAAAATGACAAAGTTATATTTAATATGCTTTTGAAATAAAATTCTAAAATGACTATTGTATTAAACCTTATTTACATACCACCATTGCTTTAAAACATTCATATAAACAATAAACTGAAATAAAATCTCATTAGTAACACAATATTATAATACTATCAACCTATTCGACATAATATAAATTTTCATCATACACCGAATTATCACTATTCCTTTCATTATTCTTTTGTGTATATTGTCTTTTAAACTTGCACTTAATATGTTTGATTATTAATTGTTCATTATAAAAGTCTACTATCGCATTATTTTGAAGTAAGAAATCCTGTCCTAAGATGAGGTTATGACTAATATTTTCTACCACAAGAAAATCGTGAATGAATAACACATTGTCTATCAATAATTTAAGGTTAACTTTCCCTATAACAGACAATTCTTTACCATCGACAGCTTTCAACTTCATATCGCTTTCATCAATTTGTTGATGAATTCGACTTACTGTGTCCTTCGACACCACAGACACTGCAGCACCACTATCAATGAGCCCTACAAACTTCTTATCACGACACGTTATATTAATTAAAGGTTTGGACTCACTTGTATGCTGATTGTTGTTTTGTAACGGCTGTGAATGGTGAACTTTTTCATCAGCCATCGTCATTAAATTTTCTTCGTAAAAAAAATTCTTTTGATTCTTCTTTGGTTTTTTCTTCTTTTTGTTCAAGTTACTGGAACAAAAAGTGCGGGGAATCATATGTTCGGGAGGGACAATGTGATGAGAAGGGACACTTTGGGAGGAAATGAGGTTGATCTCCTTCTCCTGTTCCTCTTCATTCCTTATTATATGAAAAATTTTCGACGTTTCACAAGCAAACGATGGTTGGATCGGCAGATTCCAACTAATTTCGACGCTTTCGTCCTCAAAAATGTCCTGCGCTTGTCGTAAAACATTTCTCAAATGTGTTTTATCACTGTATAACTGAAATGCGAAAAGATTTTTTGTATTTAAATTCGCATTTTTCAAGAACTGTCTAATGAAACATCTGTCATCGATGACAGCTCCCGCTTTTGTGGCCAGCTCATCCAATACATAAAAATAGTGCAATGGCTCTTCTGACAAGCCTTGTCTTCGTGAGAAAAATTTTTCCAACGCATTAATCGATGATGGAAATTCCTCACAAATTTTCTTTTCTAGAATCTGAAAATTCTCACAAGACTCATTAATATTTTTATAAAATAACAATGCAGGTCCACTCAAATATGCCGACAACACAATTCTTTTTGTATCCTCGTTGAAATTATTGATAGCGGCGATGATATTAAATTGACGAAAGAAATCGGTTACATCACCTTTTCCGTCGAATGTGGTCCTGGTCTCCATCTTCATAAAACTACTTCTTTCTTGCTTTAAAAATATACTTCACTCGCGGTAGAATCTAACGCGGCGCGTCCACCATATAGCGTTCTACCCAGAAGGGATAGGACCTGGGAGCGTAGTCGATAATTGAAAAATACTGATAGAGATAAATTGTTTATTTCTTTTTATCATTCAGGCGAATATAAAGAAATTTTATCTAAATACGAGAGGAAGTTCTTGGTGCCTGAAGATCTAATCTAGAATGGAACCTTCTATCAAAAGACAGACGATTCCTTATTTCAAATTAAAATCGTAACATTAACTTTTTAATATAACTGCCAACCGTAGGCATTGCAAAAGCAAAGAGTTTACTTAAACAAGGAGGCTGTAACGTCGGACGTCACAGTACCTCTCCGGCAACTAAAATCAATGTCAGGAGTTTCTGTAAAACCCCCTTAGCCCCCAGTGTCAGTTTTCCCAGAACGAGGAAGCTTATTTCTAAACCCAACCCTAATGCGTTACGTTTGTTTTAGTACTCCCATCTTCTATTTTGATCTTCCTGTGACAACACAAATACAAATTTGATAATTATTAATATGTTTGCCATTGCTTTTACAGGTGATGTAAATTTGCCACGTGACAAGTTTCTGAGGGAGCAAGTAAAGCTGGATGATGGATGGATACCACTGGATGTGCTTATGAGATTCAACCGACTTATCAAACTCTCATCGGATGCCAATGTCATAGTGAACGCTCTTAACAATTCCACCTCTGGTCTTTTGGAAGTTAGTAGCACACCCTTATCAAATATGTGTTATTCATTATCAGCTTCCACTGACATAATTGTTAAATTATTCCTTTTTGTGGTAGCCTTTTAGAGAGCATTAGGTATAACCGATTCTACCCTTATTTATGCTGGTGTTTACTTATTTACATTGTAAATAAACTTGGGGTAAATATTTAGACTGTAATAAAAATCATTATATGGCTGGTTCAGGAAGGTTTACTAAACTATTAATTATTATTTCAAATTCAAGGGTGGTAAATTATATTATGAAAACCATTGCATGCATTTGTATTTAGTTAATAATAATAATAAATATTCTTTATTGCACACAACAAAGGACACAAGATAAAAAACAAATAAAACAGAAGAAAGAGTACAATAGGCGGCCTTATTGCTAAACAGCAATCTTTTCCAGGCAACCTATGGTAGAAATGGAATAATAATAGAGAAATATAGAAGGGTGCAAAAGTAGATACAGGAGCTATACTTACATAAATATAGAGCAAAGAAATAGGATATTAAATGAGTTTAAGATAAAGAAAGGAAATAACTTTTAACTTGATCGCTAAAGGAATTAAGCGTACGAGCCTTTCTGAGTTAGCCTTAGTTGTACTTCTTTTTGTGCATCTTTAGTATAACTCTAAGGCATCTACTTCATTCAATTCAATCTAAGGATTCCATAACATACAGTGGTAAAATTTTTGTTCTACGACTTATTGACCAAGTTATGACCAAATTACTAAATGAATTTTTGGCTGGCTGCATAGTGACTGCCATCACACAGTTCTAGTGCTTGGGCGCGAGCGTGCATAGAGACGCTACTGAAGTTCAACCGAAGTGAACCACGATTGAGCTCTGTGTCGTTACACGTTTCGGCTGCCAGTCAATATTGGCTACCATATAATTAGTTATAAATCGCAACAAATGAACCAATTTCGGTGATTTAAAAAGTATATTAATTAAAAGCTTATTGGATCATTATACTATTGATTTTGAGTTGATTTGCTAACCTAGTAATGATCCTCATTTGTTCAGCAGTTTCATGATCAACTAAAATAGATGCAAGTGAATGTTTTTATTAGTAGTGCATTAGTTGTTTAAAAAAATATATCAAAATTGTTTGCTTTATAGTTTACAAAGATTCAACATTTCTGTTGTTTATATGATATGTCTACTAATTATGCTCCTAATAGGTTTCAGATGACAGCAAAAAAGTTCGCAGAAATCCAGAATTGCCAATACCAGAGATGAATGAGGAGCGTCGCAAAGAACTGTTAGCTCGTACAGTTTATGCAAAAGGCTTCCCCAAACATGCGTCACTGGATGACCTGATTAAGTTTTTCAAAGATCATGAAGAAGTGGAAAATATAATCATGAGAAGATATTTGGATAGGACAACAAAGAAAAGACTGTTCAAAGGCTCTGTATTTGTCACTTTTAAGACAAAGGAACAGGTAAACATCAACAACTAACAGTAAATTTTCATAGAACTCCATGTTGTTAAGATATAACAGGATATATACCTACCATACTCAGTATATTTAAATTGAAGGATTTACACATTTATTAATGGATTATATAGTATCTAATATATAAATTATATTATTCTAGGCAGAAAAGTTCTTGAAAACTGAAGATCTGAAGCATGGGGAAACTACCCTGCAGTTACTCTGGCAGGATGAATATTTACAGAAAAAGCTAGAAGAATATACTAATGCCAAAAAAGAGCAAAGAGAGAAGAAGAATAAGAAGAAAGAAAATGTAAGTGTTTTTACCTGATTTTCTTTGGAAAATTATGTCTACTTTTTGTGATATTTTCCATTATGCTATTATTATTGATTTTTACTCATAACTTACTCATTATTAAACAAAACTTGTATTTCCATTACAGGAAAAGGTAGAAAAAGAAGAATTCAAATTGCCTACTGGTACAGTGATCCGTTTCAGTGAGGGAGATGACAAAATGAAGCGGGAAGATGTCAAAGATGCGCTGGCTGCTCTAGGTAATCTATAAGATAAAAACTAACCTATATCCTTTCCTGTGACTCAAAACTGTTCATGCGTCGCGCCGTCGCCTTGTGTGACGTATTTCATAATAACTGATACATTACAACTGTTTATATCGCGCCAGCGTCACGTTTCCGTCCCGCCCCGCCTGCTGTCTGTCTGAAACTTTAATGGTGTCGATTCTGGCATGATTCTCTAAACTTAAACCTAAATTTAACTTCGGCCTCTCCTTCTCATTCAGCATAGAGAATGACAAGGAATTGTAAGAATGACATTGTATCCTGCTATAATCATGAATCATGCTATAATCGACACTTATGTAGACTTATTCCATAGGTCTCTTTAAAATTTTGTGGTTTTTAGTGAGAATTGTTGTTACGTTTCCTTGGTAATGTTTCCTCTTTAAATATTGTGGAATATTTAGTAAAGCGATGATTGGATTATTGGGGATAAAATTGCTTAGTGCTACTTAATTTATTACAGAGACCCTGGTAGTGAATTTGTAAAATATCAAAGTAACTAAAGTTTTAAATCGAACTAGCTCCTAACTAACACTATTCATCTTCTATCTTTATTACTTTATGCATGATCAATACAGTGCTATAAAGCACTAGCAGAGCACGAATTTTGACAGCTCCATAATAGTATAGTCATTGTCAAATTTTGTATGGAAGGATCTTCTTCTTATGTCCAATAGAGGTGTTGCTTAGTTTTCATACTTTCAAAATTCGTGCTGTGTTAGTGCTTTATAGCACTGTATTTTTTATGTATAAATCAATAATGAAGGAAGATGAATAGTCTTAGGAGCTAGTTCGATTTAAAACTTTAGTTACTTTGATTTTGTACAAACAAGCTATTATAAGTTATGGAATGACTATTGGAAATAAGGGTAGCTGCGTAGACGGCACGAGCTAATTAATTGCTCTAATGAATCCTTAGTCCAAATTTTAAAATAATATAAATTGTTTTCCACTTTTTCTAGGTGCTGATGTAGCATACATTGACTACAAACAAGGCGACAGTGAAGGTTGGGTGCGTTTAGCCAAAGAGAACACAGCAAAAGATTTAGTAGAGAAACTAACAGACGGCAAACTTAAAATTGGAGAGAAGGAAGTAGTTTTCAAGGTGTGCGAAAGTGATGAAGAAAAAGCCTACCTCGATAAGACTGTTGAAGAAATGCAGAAGAGGCGAAAGAATCAAAAGAACAATAGCAAGCAATATAAAGGCAAAAGAATGGGTGGCAGACAGGGCAGGAAACGGAAACAAGACCAACATGACGAGGAACCCGCTGCCAAAGTGAAGGCAGATAGTTAATAAGTTTGTGATTTAAGTGGTTTTATTAATATTTAAGACACTATTGCTTATCCCCTAATTATACACAAAATATACTTCCGGACACATCTAGCCGCCTACTTAGTCTTGAGTGTTAATGATCTGTAGCATATAAAAATATATGTTCGGTTTGAAAAAGGTGGTTAATAAATCGGCTTAAAAACTGTGGAAACACTTTTTGCTCTTTGAACATTTATTTTTTGCTAGGGACTGTCAAAACTTAGGCTAAGTGTGCTGATAGATATGTCTGGAAGTATATTTAATAAATGTCTCATGATAATATAGGAGACAAGCCTAAATATTCTGTTACAATGTTCGTATCTTTCTAAAATGTAAATTACAAAACTCATTTGTAGTGATTACAAATTTTCTCTATTTGATTATTGGAGACAAAATATAAAGAAATGTAGAACGTAGTTCCATTTCTTACTGCTGTTAAATAATAAAGACTATGTCGAGTAAGTAGTTTCTTTTTTTTGTATATTTTTACTATACATGTGCTGATAGTGTTTAATACCACTTTCAGAATTAAAAAATTGCACACTCCCACTCACAGAATATTTCAGGAAAAGAGAGAAGCATTATAACAACGATATTAGATACCCTAGATGAACAAAATCGTGGCCGAAATCTGTCCAAAATGTACATTGGACGATTCACGGAGCTCTGTAAAATGATCGCGTCAATATAAGGCATTATTTAAACATTGAAAGACACATTTAATGCATACTGTATAAGGTCTTAATTAAAGCGCATGCGTTAAAGAATTATGACTGTTCGAAATGCAAGCACGTAAAATTTTGCGACATTGCTTAATGCGTAAGAATAGAATAGACCTTATTTCTTTGACTTTACGCGTAAATCTGAATGCGCTATCGGCAATATAGCAGGTACGGACCGCGCGGAAAAGAGACGGTTTTATTTAAATATCACCATAATTTTCTATTATATTAGTTTATAGTTAGTTTTAGAATTCATATGCGTTAAATTAACAAATATTGATTAGATACTTGTCGAAAAAATTAAACACTACAGTGCGATTCAACTAAGAATAGGTCCGACTGGGCGCCATTTTGTGACGTCATAACTGTCAATTCAACCCGGTTAAGTAGAGTGAGCAAAAAACTTTTTCTTTTATATAACTTATTTACCAAGATTAAGGGAGAAAAAAATATCAGATTTTTAAATAACATTTTTTTACTAAAATTGAGAGAAATAAAAACATTGTTTTTAATAATATTTATTTATTAAGGCAGAGTAAGAAAAAAATTATTCGGAATCTTGCTCTTAAATCTCTGTCTACTACCGTCGAAGTAGTCATCATCATCACTGCTGCTTTTGGCTATAAAATAAAATATCGATTATCGTAGCTTTTAAAACGGCAACGTTATTTAAAATTAAAATGTTCTTTTTATTTCCTGTATTTATAATAAAACTAAAGTTCATATATTTCCCTTTGCCAGCAGTAGTTTCTAAAGGTTCACATGATTTATTTCCTTCTTTTGTTTATAAATGTTTGGTTTTTATTCGAAGATTAACTCAGTCCTAAAAATGTGTTCTAAGATCTTTTTGCAAATCGTACTTTTCAAGCGTCATTTGACAGATGGAGGTCATTGGCTTTCCTATTCTTATTTCAATCGCATAGTACATACTATATAAGTAAATATTTTATTCGCACTTTTTCACGGAGCTTAGCGGTATCATGACTTTTTAACAAAGAGGTATAAGAATACAGTAGGGGAGATATGTACTCTACTACAAGTGGAAGTGTCCGTCTAGTAGAAAGAGAAAGAAGATGAGAGAAGGCTAGTTATCTCTGTCTCTTGTGACGCTGCGCAGTCGTGTGATTGGTCGGTATTCATACGTAGGTTTTTCATCCAATGCGCATTAGCGATTAGAGAGAGAAAGGCTAGCCGTCTCTCATCTTCTTTCTCTTTCTACTAGACGGAATAGTTTAGAGCCGCCTTCCCCACTCTATTCTTATACCTCTATGCTTTTCAACGGTCCGCGCATGACTGTAACTCAAAAAGTGCTTGAGTCGCGTTCTTGACTTTGATTGGAACATATACTGAGCGCTCGTGCTGTATCTAGTGTATTTAATATCCGTTGCCTTATAAGTAGAAAATACTTAGGTTTGCACACTGAGCTACTAATTATGTATTTGTTGTTATTTTCTTTTTTATACTTACTAATATTTCCTACCACCTTGGCACTATACGGTCACGACCACAGCCAGTGGCTGCAACGACCAGATTAACTAAAGAAAATAAAGAAAAGTCGCGCACTTGGCGTACTCCAGGCCGGCACAGAAGAAGACCAGTCATTCTCAGTGTCATGCGAACAGTTCGTTAGTGAACATGTTTTGTATTGAATTGAAATTGAAAATCTTATCGTTTCGCAATTCAATACGACGAGGTTTTTACTGCGATGAGTTTCGATAGAGTCTATTATATACCGGCAATGTGGCTGGTTTACGACCAGTCGCGGCCGCAAACTTGGCGCTAGAAATGTTAGGGCTATGGCCGTCTAGGGCGCGAGATACCTATATCATCAAAAACCGATTTGTACAAATTGGGCTGACTATTTTCAGAAGCACGAAGAATGTGTACAGCCAGCTTAGATTTCTGAATAAGAGCCTTAGATAAACAATCCTAGGATTCTTTATCTAAGACAGTCACGGAATGTACAGCCTGACAAAGCAATGTTTTATATAAACTTCAGCAGCTTCTAATGTACACATGTTTTATGTAATGTCTTTTTCCGTTAATAAAGATTTATTTATTTATTATTAATGCCATGGAAATTCATGGAATTCATGTACATAGTCTCCAATTGCGCGCCCGTACATTGCTGGCTGTGCTTTCCGCGGCTGTCTTAGTGCATTTACCACTGTACAGCGGTAGAGAACACAGCCACAGAATACCCGGCAGCGAAATTCATGTACAATGGCATCCAATTCTACGGCTGTACATTCTATTGCTGTACATTAACCGGATCCACCTAACCATAGACATAGTATCATATCTCTATGAACCTTACCTAAAACCTCCTTAGTAAATTTTTTGACAGTAGTCTAACCCAAAAGAGTAATTTATGTATATGGGCTCCTTATCGTGCTAATAGATAATAAAAAGGAGAGACTGATGTCTAGGGATGGCGATTCTTTCCGAAAAAGATGGATTTTTAAATCGATTCGAATCGTGTCCTAATGAATCGATCCAAAAAAAATCGAGGCCAATAAGATCGATTTCTGAAAAATCGATCTTTTTTTCAAGTTTTTGTTTATAAATCTATTTTGAAGTGAAACTTCTTTAAACTGTAAACTGGAGAATGTGTTACGGATACGCGTTACGATTAGTGTCATAGGTGACTCATCGGTAAACATAAACGTAAAACAAAATAAATATCTACGTAAATTTTGTCATAACAGCGACGAAGTGGCGTTACAAGTGGCGTAATATTATAAGTTGCATCATTCAAGCGAATGATTTCAAGTTCAAATCACGGATCTGAAATTTACATTTTTAACCTTTTTTTCTATCAACAAATATTAGTTTAAAATTTTTTTTTGTTTTTAATGATTTTTAAATATATTTATGTAATTCTGTTAATATATATTTTTATAATTAATATTATGAAAGTTCGTTTCACTTCTGGCATGCGTATTCTGTATACACGCTTTTTTTAGTAATAACAAGATACATATTATAATTTAACGATCAGTAAAATCAGGTAATTTGATGATAAAAAATATTTTTATTCAAATATTACAAACAAACGTAACTTTTTTTAATAAAGAGGGGCGAAGGAATCCAAACATAGAGCCATCTCGCGAGTTTTTGAATAATTAACCCTTTAACCAACAGCACTCTTATATTACAGGTATATTCAATTAATTGTAAATACTTTTTTGTTTTATACCAAAAAATAAAATAAAATCGACTGTCGATTTTCAAGGGTGAAATATCGATTCAGTACTAAATATCGATTTTTAAATCGTTATTTTTGGCTCCAAAAATCGATTCATCGATAAATCGATCTCAGATCGCCATCCCTACTGATGTCAAATTTCTTAGTACATACATCACAGAGTACCTTATTATAACACATACATGTAGTCTATGAAATGGGTAAACAATTTATCTATTTAATTTAATTGTTTATTTTTTCTATCATTTATATTTAATTTTCAATAAATTGTAATGAAGCCAGAAACCGAAACGAATTTAGAAGCAGCCGCTTCTGTTGCTGGAGACGTTATCGGTGATACAGCGTACAGTGAACGCTTTGTCCTGAAAATTCTATTAAAACTCGCTAATTTGGACTCTCTCAAAGACGAGATCCGCGAAAAATCGTTCGAAGATGATCTTTGTACACTGTGGGACATGACTGCAGAGAGAGACGTGGTTTTATTTTTACAGAAACATGATGTTCTGAATTTGTTTAACTTCGCCTTACCAGTCCTAGAAACACCACGTATGATAGAAATTATTGTTGGAATTATAGGCAACTTGTGTTGCCAAAGAACAGCAGTTACAAACCTCATGAAAATGGAAAACTTTTTAAGACTGCTCTTAGAATATGTAAAAAGTGAGGACAGTTTAGTTTTGATACAGTTGTTACGCTTAGTGAACTCTGCTTTATTCTTAGCGGAGAATGATGACATTCCAAAGTGGATGAATTTATTTGAAAGTGTTGGATACTCGGAAGCTTTATACTTCATTCTTAAAAACTCATCACACAAAGAGTTACTTGTAACTGCTATAGAAAACATGAACACATTATGTTCTTATTGTAACACTGACGAAGTGAGAACAAAGTTTTATACTCACTTTGTGAACTTGGAAGCTCTCGATAGTCTTACTTCTGCCTTCAGTGAAGTTATAGTAAGTCAAAAAGATTCTTGTGAAAGGGAAGAAATAGAAAGGGTGCTACTAATTAGCTTACAAATAACACTGAATATGGTAAGCTTTGAGAATGCTCAACAGATATTCTGTTCATGTAAAGATAGTATACAAATTATGATAAAAAACATCCTTGTTTATTATGAAGATAAGCTTGTGAATCAAAAAGAAATTGACTCTGACATAGTCGATATCATAGACTCGACTTTCACAATTGTTAATTTGCTTAAGTTGAATGAGTCCAGTAATATGGATATTTATTTTGTGTCTTGCCATAACATGTGGAAAGCAATGAATGTAGCTACAAAGTCACATCTAAATGGTAATTCTGACTTTGAGGATAGTAATGAAGAATTAGCACAACTAACTAAGGAAATAAAATTGCCTCTGTGCAATTTGGTGTGTGATTATATTTTGAAATGTTCTGAGAGTCACCTGTTAACTGTCTTAGATGCAGTCAATGGAGACTATGAATTGATTCTCAGTGAAGTGAATAGTGAAATACAACATAATGTGTCTAAAAGGACTGCAGACTACAGAAGCAGACTCGAAAGTGTTAATTCTTAATAAATTATACTACTATCTAAATTCTTTTATTTGTATTAGTACAAGTATTCGTCTAAGAATTACATGCAAGGTATAACCTTATTATCACAAAAACGTTAGAAAAGTGTTCAACACAAGTTTAAGAAAAACTGTCAACAAAGCCTAAGCAAGGTTTTAGGCTAACTTTTCATAGTAAAACTGTAACCCCCTTATAAATAAACAAGGAATAAATTTTTCTAGTTACGCCGTCTTTTGTTCATGTCACTCAAATGCCATTTGTCATTCAATAGACAGAGACAAAACATGGAGTAACTAATCCAAGCGTAGTCTTCGTTTATTAATAAGGGGGAAGTGTTCTGGCCCTGATTTAGGTGCTTTCACTCCTTAGTTGCCCCAGGGCCCCACACCTTTAAATCCAGCCTTGGCTAGCTGTGTTATGAATTAAAATTATTGCACACTGTTGCTCTAAAAAGTATATTTATTGATGTTGATAATTGATTATCAGCAATTCAAGGCTTTCTGCTTTATAATTGTTGGCTAGCTTTGCTGCGCCCTTTGTTTTGTTATCCTTGGTACACCCACGTGAACTATGTAGGTGATGGATTAGTAAATCAAAGCACAATATAGTAGTGCAATAACGAATGCCTTTGTATGATTTCTGGCGCCCCTGACTCCTCTTGTCTTGCAGCCGCTCCTCGCAGTCTCCCGCCCCGGGCCATGGCTTCTTTTGGCCTTAGGGTAAATACGCCCCCGGTCACGTTATATTTTTAATCTGTGGCAGTTTATAATGTCAACTGAACTTATATTTATTTAATTTTATTTATTGAAACTTTATTGCCAAACATAAGCAAACGGCGGACTTAATGCTATAGGCATTCTCTACCAGTCAACCAGTATGATTGTTGGAGACAAATAGTAGGGCAATAGGGCAAAGTTGCTAAAAATTAACATAATACAGCAATATAATATAATATCATGGAGGTTAGAGAGATGGAGAACGACCGCCATACGACCGCTATGTGCTAAAGCATTAGCCCGCCTGTCCCTGAAAATTTGTAGAATTTATAGTTCATATTTCAGCCACCAGCCGCGCTGCCATCGGTAAGTAGTATCTGTGAAGTTAGCTGTATAAGAGAAAAAGGAGATAAGTTAGTTGAATAATGTACAAATTTTCTTCGCGGCATTGGTCATTTAAAATTAGCGCACAACAGCCCGCTTTTATTGAGACAACTTAGCGATCGCAGCGCCTCACTTATTTTGTCCATATTTCTAAGACACTATTTTCTACAGCGATTGTTAATCCTTCTGTCTAACCCGCATGACTAATAAATATGTAAAACAGTCCAGTCGTGCATGATATAAGTGAAATCATTAATTAAACTATTTTTTTACGGGTTAATGCACGAAACTTAATTTTTTTATTGACGTTTCGTAGCCTTTACAGGCTACGTCGTCAGAATACGAAACGTCAATAAATAAATGAAATTTCGTGCATTAACCCGTAAAAAACTAGTTTTATTTAATGAGTGATGTGCGTGAAAACCTAAGAAACAAATAAGTGAAATCATGGCGAAATTATACCAATTTTTGATTAATTCTTCTTGAAATAAAATACCCACAAAATAACTATAGATATGATATATAGAGGAGCTCGATGGCACAACCGAGGAGCTCGATGGCGCAATTGGTTAGCGCGTTCGGCTGCGATTATTGAAGTTAAGCAACTTTCGCAGTGGTCGGTCATTGGATAGGTGAACAAAAATTTACTATCTCGAGCTCCTCCGTGCTTCGGAAGGCACGTTAAGCCGTTGGTCCCGGTTGCATATGCAGTCGTTAGCTTAGCACCCACCAATCCGCACTGGGTCCACGTGGTGGGTCATGGCCCAATCCCCCTATTCCATCCATAGGGAAGGCCTGTGCCCCAGTAGTGGGGACATTAATAGGCTGATGATGATGATGAATAGAGAATGACAGGATCTGAATAATTATCACCGCTGTAGTTACCTATTGAATACAATATATTTGATGCTTTGGCAACAGAGAAAAGATAAATAAACTTGCCTTTTGCCAACCAATGATTATTATGTTTAAAAAAATATATACTTAATTATCGTTTAAAAAACGGGGATAAAACAAATTCTAGTTTTTTGTCAAGCGATTAACAATTAGTGTATTTCATAAAACTTTGGACTCTACTACCATCCATATAAATTTGAACAGTCTCCTTTACGGGCTTTCCGCGTCATTAACCCGTTCGTTCCAATACCACAGACAGATACGCAAGTAGGCAATAATTGCAAATAGGAGGAGATAATAAAGGAAACCACCACATGTACATGGGATTATATATTTTGTAGACATTATAAAGCAACATTTACATTACCATAAACGAGTTTTACACCGTCGCACTAGCGGCGGACTAAAACTACTCGAATGTAACAGTACATCGTAACAAAACAAAGCTCTCTCATACACACGCGACCGCGCACCGCCGTGCCACGTCCAATAACTAACTAATCTACTACTTTCCAGAGTTTGAGCTCAGTCAGCATTAACTACTAACATAGACCGAAAGTGCTTTCTAAAACTTCACCGCGGCCAATCCCACCGTTTTTGAGTAATCTCTTATTAAATCGCCACGTGCGCGAGTGCGCGGTCGCCACAATTGTCATAATCTGATATGCTTCTCACATTAAAAAAAAAACGTACACCACAAATACTGAAAGGGAGAATGGAGATTAATAACTGTATACTTTACATTAAAATGTACTTATAAACTAACTAACCACGAGCCTACGCGTTCCTTGAGCGGAACAAAATCGCACAAATTCATTAAATATCGATTCGTAAATATTTAGATATAATAATTATATCGTTAGAGATAATAATAAAAACAGGATAAAGACTAGACTTTACACTGATCAACGACAAATTGGCTAACAGCAACATATCGCGCGGGGCGCCCCCCTGCGGACGGCGGTGGAAACGAAGCGATGCGTCTTCGCGTCACATGAACAAATATCTAAACCACAATCTTAACTAATTAAAACCTCGATATCCCGCGGCAATAAAGAAACGCATCGACAATGACGTTGTAAGAAATTCTGTCCCTCTCGTACATCATGTCAGGAATAGTTTGCGAGGGGGACAGAATGTCTAGAGTCGCCATTTTGGATTCGATTCTTTTTTGGCGCGAGTTGCAATAATCACTCGCCATGAATGGCGTGTTGCCGCGCGGCCGCCGCACGCACGGAGGCGCGCATTAACATACTAATAAAACATTACATGTTACCTACTCAATAAATTACATAAATTATCTGAATTTAAAACAAGTCTTAGGCTTTTTCATCAACATATTGTTTGTAGTACCATGACAAATCCCATTTGGCGCTACGATCCAACGGCGCGCATAGTGCGCGTCGGCTGAAATTATATTTACAAAAAAAATCGTATGCAGAAAAAGCCGCGGGTGATATGAAAAGGCAGGTCAACCCCTTTTGTACCAACAGGGATATGTATCTTGTATACGTTGTGACATTGTCCCGACAATAATGCATTGCGAACATTTACTTAACCACGGTAAAAGCTACATTCAAATTGTCAGTTCTACGCTTATTATAAGCAATACGGAACTCGATGATAAGACAGAAATTCATACAATCTAATATCCACTAAAGTTTCGTCGTACCAATTCACTTCATTAAAAATTTTATCTGTACACAATTAGTGTAAAATAAATTAATTACTATTAAAATTAACAAAATTAAATTAATTTATGAATGAAATCAATTTTGAATACTTTTCGTGTTCATTACATCCAATGGTCCGATTTTGGCACTTACCTTCGAGAGATACGCGTAAAATAATACTATGCAAACTGCTGAATGGCAGTGTATCAATCACCGACATTACACTGTCGACTATCGGGGACAGGCAAAAATGCACCTTATTACACTTGAATTTGGGGCTCCATTTGTTCTCGACTTCTAAAGAATAATTAACATAAAAATATTTTCACATGTAACAATTATTAATGAACATAATGCGTATAATCGACAACAAACAAGCCCAAATTTACAAGGTAAGGAAAAATATATTAAACATGATGGTATCTGCTGTCTCCAATAATCTCCAATAGCTCTCCTGTTAGATATGTCCGATAAATACGACCAAAAGGGTGGTAAAATATCCTAAAGCTTCTTAAAATACGCGACGGCTATTTAGTTAAACTAGCTATCGAACATACAAACAGAAAAGCGTAGCGTTTTCTACATAATAGAAAATTTCTTTGGTATATTTTTGTGAGCAACGACAAATGATTACAGTTGAGTATATTCAACATCCATAATTCTAAAAGCGACAATGATATTCCATACTGCACGATGCCTAAATACTGACGTTTGGACCGAACGAATATTATGTGTGTCTCGATATTTATTGGAAAACCATTTGTTGAACGTGGGTTGCCATATTTGGCGAGTTTCATGTTCTATGTACGTAAACGCGCTAAACATGGCAACTTATGGTGTGCTCCACCCGCTAGCCTTCCGACCAAACATCAAACAATATTTTTCCTCTGAAAATTTTATTATTTTATTGCAGCCGAGTGCATGAGGCCTGCGTAAGCCTCCAGTCACTGGAATGTTCACATCGACGACAAAACCACCGCACGGCCATGCCATATTATACATATTGCTTTCGTTAAGCGTATTAAAAATCCATCAAGAGTAGGTACGATACATTCATTTTGTACTTACACGCAGACATCTAAACACGAGTAATATATCTATACATATAGAAACAACCTAGTTTCCCCGTCTTCGTTGTCTCGAACGGACAGCCGCGTTCACATCAATAGGATAGCTACGGGGCCACATACAGAGATTAACGAGTCATAGAATAAATATAGGAATACATCTACACAGTCTGTTACAACGGCAAGGGCTATCGATACATCACTAAGGGGAGGGAATTTTTCGCTATTTTCGCGATCGAGTTCGATCCGACTTGTAAGGTGGGGGTAGAATGAGGAATGAGGGAGGAGGGGTTGGGTATGATAAAATACGAATTCCACTACCTCTACCATAACATCAAAAGTCTAAATATAGTCCAAGAACAGATAAAAATCTGGTGATCTCGCAGATTTCGATGGATTGAATTCTTCGCGAAAATGGCGGCGAAATTCGCACGTTACTAAAATGTTAGGGCGCCTTCGAATCGGACGCGCTGTGATGCGCAGCAAAGTCAATTCAATCGTCCTTAAATATCAGAGTCGCTGCGCAACAGCTGTCTCTACACAGTGAAGTAACATAATTGAACACACATATTAACTTTTTTCTCGTTTCGTTGTAACAAAATCAATAGTGCTTCTCTTCATCGGAAGGGTGTCTCGAGGCGAAATGCTATAATCCGTTCCAAACGATTCGAGAGCTAACACAAAAACTTTACATATCAATTGAAGATTTTAATTAAATCTGTGTCAAACAAAGTGATAATTACTTTGATCTAAATAGATTTTGCTTTCAAAATGTCTACTAATTCCCATTACTAAGCTATAGTCTTTGTAAAGGTTATATTGCTCCCAAAACGTTTGATATGAACTATATTAACTTGTCGTTTCGCTTTAACAAAATCCATTTCATTGCTTCTCTTCGTTGGAAGGGTGTCTCGAGGCAAAATGCTGGTCAAAAATAAGTATGTGGTTACTTCATCGTTTCGAAGGCGGCCGTAGAGATGCGGTCGACAGCGGAGATTCCCGGCGCTACGTTCAGGCGCCCGAGAAGCCGTACACCTAATTGGTAAGGAATTAAATTGACATTATAAAGTAATTTCAAGTTGTGGCATTAAAACTTAAGATTAAATCAAAAAAGGAAGATATGGCACTCGCTGCTCAAAAGTGTACCGCTTAAATTGTGGTTCATGACCACAGTTCGCTTTAGTCACAATTTGACATCCAAACACTCTGCATGTGCACTCAATATAAGAATATTGCGTATATTCTGTGTTATAAAGATAAAACGATGCCTTCGATGTTTTTAAAAAGAACACAAATAGTAAATAACGAATTCCACGGAAACACTTTTCATTCGTAAAACCTATTAATATCCTCACTGCTGGGGCACAGGCCTTCGCTTTGGATGATATTAGGGAGATTGGGCCATGACCCACCACGCGGGCCCAGTGCGGATTGATGGGTGCTAACAACTGCAGATGCAGCCAGGACCAACGGCTTAACGTGCCTTCCAAAGCACGGAGGAGCTCGTGATAATAAATTTTTGGTCATCCTTCCAATGACCGACCACTGCGAAAGTTGCTTAACATCAACGATCGCAGCCGAACGCGCTAACCACTTGCGACATCGAGCTCCTCATTGTAAAACTATAAAAACTTTTTTTTTAATAAATCATGGTTTGTCATGAATGTTATTTAATTATTCGCCATTTTGTTATCAAGAAAAGGACAACAATACAGCTCAGCGGTTTATAGTGAGAAAAGAAATCGCAGTCGGCTGTCAAGCGACACGGACTCTCCGTTTTGCTCGCGCTGCGTTGAAACGTACAGTTTGATCTAGCTCGCTCAGTTGAATGTTTATTTACAGACGTGTGCGTGTGTGAGAGTTGCTTAAAGGGTTACCAACTTTTTTTCTATCAAATAGAGTAATATCGAAGCTAACAACAACCTCTAAAAATATTTTTGCTGCTCTTTGCCTTAATAAAATATAAATATTAATTTTTATGAAAGCTTTTGCTGGCTAAAATCTGCTTTAGGCAAAATATAGTAGTTTCGCCTACTATATTTGTTTTTAGAAATATAGTATTTGATGTCTCAATATAGTAGGATACTATATTATATAGTAGGGTTGGCAACCCTAGCTGCTTATGTAGTTGAGTCGCAGCATATTTTATTTGTTGCTAGTATGAGCGTACCGTATGTTCCCTTTTTGTTTTCATCTAAGCATTAAAATGAATGTTCATTATATTATGGCAGGACATAGCTGAGCCAGTGTTGCCAACTCTACGTCTTTTTACGTAGATCTACGTATTTTAGGCCTTTTCTGCAAACCTACTAACTTCAGTCCCAGATTCTACGTATTTTCTTTATTTTTTTCAAATTTGTAAAATAACTTAATTCACTAGAATATTTTCCGTAACTTTACTTAAAAACTATACAAATGTTAGTTTCTTATAAAGATGTATCTAAAAACTCTTGTATCTTATAGAAAAGGTTCCCGTTATTGGTTTTGTTGACTAAATTAATGCTGGACGCCGGATTTGTGAAAGCAGAAACTTCAAAACTCTTTGACTTAGTAAGTACGTTCATAACCTTAAAAATTGTATTTTTAAACTCTAAGTATTATTCAATGAGTACTTACATCGAATTGATCTCTGCAAAAAGAAATGACTTTCAGTCGATAAAATTACAGGATTTAGCAAGTTTTAAACATGCGTTCATCTGTAAGTATGTTTATTTCTCTTGACAATTTAAACCACAACTTTTGTAGAGTCTTTTACCAAGTGTATCATGATAACTACTATATTTTTCATGTTATCTATTAGAAATCAAGATTTTATAATATTAACTCAGAAAGTTTAGTTCCTACGTGCTTGCGAGAGTTTGTTTACAAATGTTTTGACGTCATAGCATAGATATGTCAATAGACTAAATAGCGTTTTTGTATGTCTTCTAGGTAAAAAAAAAAATTATTATGTCTGATAAAACAATTATTAACAATTTAAAACATAATTCCAAAAAATTTCAACTAGCCTATTTAACAACAGTGTATTCTTGTCATTCTCTATACAGAATGAAAAAGAGAGACTGATTTTAAATTTAGTTTTAAATTTGGAGAATCATACCAGAATCGACACCCACCAGTGTCTGTGTCTGATGGTAAGTGCTACCACAGCATGGTAAGTGCTTCCAATGCAGCGACTTCTCCAAGAACTCATTGTTCTATCTTCCGTTTTTAAAGAAATTGTATAACAAAATACTATTCGGTTTCACCTAACTTCTTCATTTCACTCAGAAAAAAAGTACGTAGATCTACGTACTTTTCCTATGCAAAATTTACCAATTCTACGTAATTTTCTCATCGGGCCTACGCCTTTTTCAAAATCCGAGTTGGCAACACTGAGCTGAGCTATACCACAAAATAGTTGTTCAGGTACATACAAAGTGCGCTCGAGCAACGCATCTTGGATTACGCTTTGAGACACGCGTATGTGACATTTTTGTGCAAAAATGAAGCAACAAAAGAATTATAAAGCTGTTAAGTAGAAGGTTGTTTAAATTCAACATTAAACGGTGTATATATATACCCTATGTATTTGACAGTATTAAAAATAAAGTGCCAGGGAAATACAAAACATCACCGAGTTTTTATTGAAGAAGATCCCACTTCTATGCCCAAACAATATTAATTATTATTAATATTACCTCGAGCACGCGGATCTCGAAATCGCCGCTAGGGCAGAGAGGTGGGTTGTTGAACGTCGAGCAACGGTCCGTCTTGCCGAACCTTATGTTCTCGTCCATCCATATTGCTTGCCCGTCACTGTTGGTCGGAAAAGAGACAAATGAAACAAATTATTACATTTTTATTTTAAGCACTAGTGGCCCGCCCTCGCTTCGCTTCGGTTTAGAGTTGTAGTGTAGATTAAAATGCCTCTTCATATAATTATAAAAAAACGGAAAATGGTATATTTGCATTTTTCAAATTCTATTGACATCACGTCACTCTACTGTTTTGCCTTCCCGTAACCTCTCCACTAACATTTGAAATTTATGGTATGGTATTAAAGTTCAAATTGACTTTGAAGTATTATTACGAATTTACGAATCGTTTGTATGGGATTATAGAAAATTGTTGTTTTTGGACTTTTAGGCATTTTTTTCTCTGCCTAAGAACCATCCTCGTACTTCAAGGAATATTCTAAAAAAAGAATTATCGAAATCGGTTCAGCTGGTCTCGAGATTTGCGCTTAGCAACACATTCAACGATTCCTTTTTTATATTATAGATTTAACTAACTGCTAGATGTTTCAATTCTATAGAAAATTTTACTAGGAAAAATTCATCGGTCTAAGGCAGCAAACGGGACTCGAACCCGTTATGAATGACCATGTGGGATTTTTTCTAGTAAAACAATGTTTTGGTTGTTTGAACTTAGTCGTTTAAATATCTTGTCTTGTAGGGAGTTCGCAAGTGAGGAATGAAGTTAAAAAGTACTTTCATGTTTTGATACATAACCATCGCAGGCAGCATGGCTCAACAGGAAATGAAACATTTGTGAGAAAATTACTATTAAATAAGCGAGGAAATTTAATTTTTTTAACATCCAACTTTAGGTATTATTTTTTACAAGGTTATAAGTACCTAATGCTTTCTGATAATACTTGACAAAATTGGTTTTTCGCGATATGGGAAAAATCATCGCGATATCTGACCTCGATTACCTCATCTTTCTGAATCCATAGAAGAATCATAAAGATCTCAGGTCTTCGCTCCGTTTATTATTTGGAAGTACGACAATGACGATCACGATATATCGATACTCAGCTAGTAAATAGGCATGTGTGTGCGAGATAAAGATATAAACACACCTTTCTGCCAGTAATCATTGCGTCACCAGCAGGCGTGAAAATCTTTTTACCATACTCAAGCTTTTGCTTTGACCAGATACGTTAACTTTTACTCACACTCTTACAGTCTTAGTCCAGCAGGCACCCGACCCAGATGTGAGCAGGACAGAGATATATAGTGACCCTCCTCTAACGGTGAACATCGTATCGTCAGCGGCCATGAAGAAATCGTTAGCGCATGTGACCACTGATTGGCTCGGCTTTCTTTGTCCCGTAGTCTTCCGACTCAGGTGTGAGCAAGACCGAGATATATACTGACCCTCCTCCCACGGTGATCATAGTATTATCCGCGGCCATGAACAGGGAATTATCGTGCGGTGTCGCCGCGTCTTGTTCCACGGCTTCGTTTTGAAGGCATCTGACCCAAGGATATTTAGCTTTGACGGGGTGGAAGCTGCAAAGATATTTAAGTTGGACGAAAACATTGAAACTGACCCTCCACCGATGGTGATCATCCTGGCGTCGGCGGCAATGAAGAGTTCCGTAGCAAAATATTTAGTAACGGCGATTGGTTCGTCCTGCAGGCATCCGACCTAAGTGTGACGAAGACAGAGATATATACTGACCCTCCTCCCACGGTGATCATAGTATTATCCGCGGCCATGAACAGAGAATTAGCGTGCGAAGTCACCGCGTCAGGTTCCGCGGCTTCGTCTTGAAGGCAGCCGACCCAAGGATATCTAGCTCTGACGGGGTGTAAGCTGCAAAGATATCGGAGTTGGACGAAGATATTGAAACTGACCCTCCACCGATGGTGATCATCTTGGAGTCGGCGGCCATGAAGAGTTCGGAGCCGTGGCCGAGCCTTTCTTCCTTCTCGGGCTGGGAACACCCCACCCACGGGTACTTGGCTCGCTCCGGGTAAAGGCTGCAACGCGCCGCGTATTTACATTCGCGTTAGGGGATCGTGTTAAGGGACTAGTGAGTGAAGTGTTGCGCGTGCGTCGTTTTTGTGCAAGGACATCATAATTATTACCACATAAAAGTTGGGCGTGCCTTCAACATGAGTTTGGGAAAAAAATCATACAAATTTTGTAAAGGTTGTTTGTAGCACTGACACACTTTTTTGTAGTACGACTGATAATTTTGATAATTAACCTCCAGTAAAAGGTAAGTTTGTTTTATTTTTTAACAACAGAGGCCCAAGCACGTATTTTTGACAGCTCCGTAACGTATGGCCTCGTCAAGGTTAGAAACCTTGACGAGGCCTTATGTAACTAAGCAGCGATCCTATAAGACGTAAGAACAAACTAGCCTCTTCCATGCAAAATTTGGCGATGACAATTTGTTACGAAGCAGTCAAAAAATAGTGCTGTTGCTAAAAAATAAAACAAGCCTACCATTTTACTGGAGGTTAATTATCAAAACTATCAGTCGTACTACATAAAAGTGTGACACTGTTTCAAACCACATTTAAGCATTATTTCTATTTGAGTTTAATAATTGATATGGCTTATAAAAAATGGACTGAGCGTTCCCAAACTGGGTAGATAATTGTGAGAAATGAAGCGATTCGACTGCCCATAGTTCATCAAACTATTGACGGTTTCTTCCGAGTGTTTTCAATTTCATGCGTGTGCCGTTCAGTCCATTCTCTATGTGTTTGTGGGGCACGCTTACGATAACGACACGCTAGTGTGTTTTGTGCTGTGTTTCTTTGGGCTTGCATTTGGATTGGCTTAGATTTTTTTCTGTTATATTAATTTAGAAATGAAATTGTAAACAATGGATTAGAGTCTAGATTATATAGGATTACAAACTCATAAACAATTGCGGAGGACACTTCTATTGCTTGTGTTATTCCGGCATTTCACTTGGCTATACGTATTTGCTATTTGTAAACTTCACAACAGTCTGTCCTTATCATGCTCTATATGGAATGAAAAGGACAGAGTGATGTAAAGTTTTCAAATAGGAAACACGAACAGCCAAGTGAAGTGAAGCCGGCATAAGAAACTTAATGTGCCTAATTACAAAACGTTGACTAAAGTTAAAACTGGTCTAAAATTGATGACCTGCCTCTTTTGTGTGCTAGAAAGTAAACAGAGACAGCATTAGATTTAAACCAGGACTAATTTTAGTCCGCGTTTTTGAATGAGGCGAAAATTGTTTAACAATATTATCTATAACGGTTTATCTGATATAGACCCAGTCAGATCTATATCTGTTTGACAGAATAGCCAATCGAATTGCCGCAACATGAATTAAGTCTTATACATGTAGTGCATAATTATCATACAAAAATTTTATAAAGATACTATTTATGTTGATCAGTTACAGGGCACTTATAATTTGGTTTGGCCCGTAAAAATATTTGTGCATACTACATAAATATACGTACATGGATGTTTAAAATAAAATACTATTAAACATGGGGTCTTGTCAAGTTTGTAGAGTAAATTTTTTGTACTTTACATTAAATATTTTTTTTAAATTAGTAAAAGATAACGACAGTGTATTGTGTAATATTTGTTAAATTTATAATATGCATATAAAATTGTTATCTGATAGCAAAAATTAGTGGCATAATATTACAAATTGACAATTTAATATTAGACATAAAGTGTTAGTAGCAGCCATTTCCAAAATCCTATCCAACCACAAAATAAAAACTTGTTGTATTGCGTGTGTTATTGTATTTGACCGGGCATAGGTTATTGAGGATGACTTCGCATATGGCCTTAGTTTAAAAACAAATATTTATGTTTTAATTTTTATTATTTTTAAAATTAAAACGAGTCCCGTCTGCTGCCTGGTCCGCGTGGAATTTTTTCTAGTTATATTTTCTTTATTTATGTTTTATTCATAAATCAATCAGAAACTATATAACCTTAAAAATTACAAATTTCTAGTAAAGTATTATAGAAACAGAAAATAATTCTATGGGTTTGTCTTCATATATTTTGAATTTAGATACAAATTTATGCAATTATGTTATTTGTTTCTGAATATTTACAAATGAAATGGAAAAGCTATTCTTCGATAAAGTACTTAAAAAGCTTGTTTTCAATTAAGAAACACATTGATCATACTTCTGGACAACAAATTCAATAGATTAAAGAATAAACGAACTGTCTTGAAACATCTGTATAATCGATTTATTATTATATATGGGTCAACAAAAAAAATATTTCCTTGTCCTGAAGTATATTTCTATTTAAAAGCGTTAGAAGTTCGCACTTAGACGTCAATTAAATTGAATCGTTACGTGTTGTCTCTTCATATTTTTAAGACTGGATGGACAGGGTAGTGCACCGATAGCCGTTCTACCTTCTTGGCCAAAGGTCCTCTTGGTCAAAGCGTTAGAAGTTCGCACTTAAACGTCAATTAAATTGAATCGTTACGTGTTGTCTCTTCATATTTTTAAGACTGGATGGACAGGGTAGTGCAGCGATAGCCGTTCTACCTTCTTGGCCAAAGGTCCTTTTGGTCAAAGCGTTAGAAGTTCGCACTTAGACGTCAAGTAAATTGAATCGTAACGTGTTGTCTCTTCATATTTTTTAAAGACTCGACAGGGTAGTGCACCCATAGCCATTCTACCTTCTTCGCCAAAGGTCCTCGGCCAAGGATCTTTCCAAAGAAGGTAGAATGCAGAAACCTGGTAGTACAAGCTCTAATTACTTTGGGCCGGGAATTAAAAAAGTGACCAAGGAGCTATTTCTGGCACGATTCTCTAAACTTCAAACTAAATTTGACAACAGTCTCTCCTTTTCGTACTGTATAGAACACTCTATTGTTTAAAATTAAAATTTTTAAGTTTTTGAAAATCCTTGCGGAATGAGATCCAGGAACATCTTTAATTAAACTTAATAACAATTAATTGACGTCTTTAAGTGCAGCCGTTAGTAATCTAGATGTGAGTGAAGCATGCAAGCGTGGTATATGAGCAGTGTAGCGTAAGTGCATAGGGAAGGATAAGGAAGCGAATTACTTAGCAGCGTTTACCCGAAGCTACCCAAGACCGAAACTAATATCGAAGCGCGATATAAGTTAAACAGATTCAATGTGCCCAATTTATATTTTAAAATCATTCAAGTATTATTTTACATTTATGAGTAATAAATTATATTTTCTATTAAAGTTGATGGGGCAGTAAGGAATTAACTCCAGTGTCACGCAGTCAAAGCATAGGGACAAATTAATTAGGTATATAACTTTTAAGTAAAAGAAATTTCTGTTTTGTAAAAATACTTGTGTGTTCAGAGGAATATCTCATTAGAAGTGAGCACAATCCAACTTAATAATTAACTTAGGCAGTCTAAGATAAGCCCACTTGTCACAAAACGTAGACTAAAGTTAAACCTGGCCTGAAACTGATTCTGTCACTTCTAAAAGAAGACAGAGACATAAGGTTTAAACACGTTTTGGAATAAGACGTAGGGTGGTTCACGGTATGATGCGTTTCAATTTAACGCTTTCTTGTCACATAAACACACCCTTTTCTGGCTTTACATATAAACAAACATTGTTGATATGTATTGACAAATGCGAATACGTACTTTCACACACATATAAATGACTAATACGATCCTTGACTGCTGCACCGAATATATTATTTTATATGCGTACTTTATCGCTTTAAACACACAGAAACTGGGCACATATGGAAATAAAAAGGAGCTCTACAACTATAGCACTGAAGGTTTAATTTTCATAAATAAACAGTCAAAGTAAGTACTAATTCAAATGAACATCAGAAACCATTGCAGAAGAACTATTATGCTAAAATAAAAAACAGATAAAAGAAAAGATAAATACAAAATAAAAGGAAGAAGCAAAGCATAACAAATACATGATTATTATTCTAAAAATAAGACTACCATTTCCTTATCTCTTGAAGCCTTGCTCGATAAGAATGTTTGTAAACAAAACTTGCCGATTTAAATTAAAAAGAATATCATTTTATTAACAAAAACGTAATTTTTATTCACATTCACAGATAAGTGTTAACAACAATTTAGGTGTTTACAAGTTATTCTATATCGATTCTGGCCGAATAATTTTGATGCATAAATAAAGCATAGCTATATAAATATTTTATTGGAACTTTATTGGCGGTGTTGATCTTAAGCGTTTTTCTAACGTCCGATTTCCACCAAGAGACGGGAATGAAAGAAAAATAGCTGGGCGAAAAGGTTTAAGATAATGGTGTCGATTCTGGCACGATTCTCTAAATCTAAACTTAAATTTGACAACAGTGTTTCCTTGTCATTCTCTATACAGAATGAAAAAGAGAGACTGATGTTAAATTTAGTTTTAAGTTTAGAGAATCACGCCAGAATCAACACCGGTATATACCTTTTATTAAGAAAACCCAACGAAATTACATGTTTAATGTACGTAGCAGTCAATGCTTACGTGTTACGATACAAGTCTAAATTCATACACTACAAGGTTACTAATATGTTTTATAGTTAAAAGGTTTATTCTTAGAAGAAAATACTTTTTTCGTTTTATAAATTAAGCAGATTAAGGTTTCAAATTAAAATGTTTTTTTTCTTATGTTAAAATGACAAGATATCCATCTATCTCTCCCTTGCAGTGGAAACCGGGTATAATTCATAAATTTCAAGTTCAAGTAATTGCTTGGATGAAAACTATCGCCAGTAAACTATAATTTATTTCTATTATATTTTAAACCTAAAATAGCTAATTAATGGGGTTAATTCTGCCATAAGTACCAATTTGAATTAAAAAAAAAGTCACGTGGTTTCAATAACTCAAATAGTTTTTGGTATCGTCCAACTTTGAATAAGTTGCCAGGTCAAAATTAATCCCATTAAGTAAAGATACTATAAGCATATATTATATACCACGTTTACTTAAGACAACTTTCTAAGAAACACAAAAATTAAATCAGAATCTGAGACAGACTTCGAAAGCCGTTTAAGATTGATACCAACTATAAAATGAAATAAAAATAAATTGCATCATTATATAACTCGCGTCTTTAAAGAAAGGAATCGAGAAAGACGCCGTAAGATATTCTGTCCCTCTCGCTCACGCTATTTTTCTTCTTAATTCTCTCAATAAGGGTCTTACTATGTGAAATGATGAAGTCAATATAGTTGGAAGACAGTTTTATTTCTCACTGCACACGGGATATTACACAACCCTTATACAACTTATCTTATATAGATACAAAAATGTATACGTGCGAACTAAGGGGACTACGGAGGGCGACTAGCTCAAACGCTCGTCGTCGCTCAAAACGTGCAGTAAATGCTTAATTCATAATACTGTAAATACTATCATCATCAGCCTATTAATGTACCCACTGCTGTGTCACAGGCCTTCCTTTATGGATGAAATAGGGAGATGGGCACGACCCACCACGTGGGCCCTGTGCGGATTGGCTAGTTCTAACGACTGCAGATGCAGCCGGGACTAACGGCTTAACGTGCCTTCCGAAGCATGGAGGAACTCGAGATAGAAGAGTTTTGGTCACCCATCCAATGACCGACCACTGCGAAAGTTGCTTAACTTCAATGATTGCAGCCATCGAGCTCTTCACTCATCCTCCCCTTTTTTGAAAACGTGTGTCCCTACACTATCTTACATCACATGCGAGAGAGATACAGAAGGTCTTGCTTCGGCATTCTCGAGTCCTTTCTTTAATGTCGAGTTATTTTTAATAATTGTATTGTTTTTGAAATATTGTAATATTGGAAGATATTTATTTACCTGAAGAGGAATGTCTCTCCCGTACCGAAGTAGGCTTGCCTGTTCCCACGCTCGTCTTTTTGATTTCGTTCAAACCACCGCGTCGAACAATATGCTCCGAAAACCTGACAAAACACAATAATAAGGATGTGCTTTAAAAAAAAATACCTGAAGCTCTGAATGCTATTCAGGCCTCGGGTTGATGGCAGAGTATCAAGGATGTTATAGCCTGACTGAATTACTCTAAATATGAGTTAATTCATTTTTTGATCTATTCTCAAGTCAATCTTGCAATTAAATTTTAATATCTAAATCAAAGATCTTAACTAGGGCCAGCGGGCCATCTAAGGCCCTCGAATAGTTGAAATCCAGTCCGCAACCATGAAACCAAATCAAAGTACTCACCAAAAAGTATACAATACAGAACCTGATCTTAATCCTCAATGATTGAGATGAAATTTTGCATACACCTTTAGTTTGGTAAGCTAAGTGACGTCATTCTAAATCCAATATGCCGGACGGCCCACGATGGCGCACTGGTAATTTTTTTGTGATCGCGCATTGATTTGTGATTCGATACCCATGTATCAAATGAAAAATGTTGTTGAATGGTGAATGGTGGGTTGAGAAGAATGCGAATAAATTAACTATAGTGCGACCAAGATATTGTGTGACACTTAGATGACTTTGACAGGAGAGCGCTGGTGGTAAATAGGGTTGAAATCCGACCGTGATCCGATTTGACGACCTCCGTGGCCGAATGGTTTGTACGCCGGGTTTCATGGCGTCGCCGACTCGAGAGGTCCCGGGTTCAAATCCCGGTGGAGGCAGATATTTGTGTGATGAACACGAGCATTTGTACTCCAGTCATGGATGTTTAATACGTATTTCTATATAAATATATTTATATATGTACTCTATATGTTTTCTATCCGTTACCTTAGTATCCCATAACACAAGCCTTACAGTGCTTACTTTGGGGCTAGGCTAATTGGTGTGTTTAAAAAAAATGAGGATTACTAAGTACGCAAAATCTCCTAACTGAAGGGAACGAACGTTATAATTTAAAATAACTCGGAAAGAGTAAAAGGAAATATAATTACACTTTCATCTATAAATATAAGGTAAGTATATTAATACCTTCCTAGTTTTTGTCTCACTGTGACCGCTTTCAATTATCATTATAAAAGCTTGCCTTAAAAAAGAATTTTCGCTTCGTGATTTTTACGAACTTACCTCGTTATTACACGTTTTGATCATGAGCAGAGTTGGTTCGTGATGCTCCACGCGCACGTAGAATGTGGTCAGAGAGCAGCCGTGCTCCTCCGTAGTATACAGGAGTACCGGCTGGTACATCGTGATGCGCACGGGCAGCCACGACCACAGAGTGAACAACTGGAACGGCGCGTATACCATTTTAAACGTTACCGCTAAAAGAATAGGGCGCAATCTCGCCTGCATGTTGAGCTTCGGCATTTCTTAATGTGATTCAATAATTATGAAGTTTTTAAGACTCGTGTTCCTTTCACTTAAAGTACGTAGGTATAGTGTGAAAAGGAGAGTAGAGAGTAATTGTTCATTAAGGCCCATTTCCACCGAATATGCTAAATATCGATTTAACTAAAACTAGCTTTAGCCAATAAAAGAACGTCAAATTGACATTACGTAATAACATTTTTGTATGTTTGGTGCAAATGGGCTTTGGTATATCTTTTTTGAAGGTAATTTGAATGAAATGCTAAAGCTTACAGGTAGATGAGATTCAACCCTTTTATATAGGCTACAATTGCGTACTACTGATATTATTTTTTTATTACTTGGTTACTAAACTAAAACTTACCATCCAATGAGTGTTTTGAGTTATGGTTAAAAAATAAATGGTCCAAAGACTCGACGACATTTCATGCAGATTAAAATTAAGGTCGACTGAAATTTCTTCATTATACGTCCTACGTCACAACTACTTAATTCATAAGTTCGATGAAAAGTTTATAAGAAGTTTTATTAAAATAATAAAATAAAAATGATGTATATCAAGAAATAACTTAGAAATATTTTAAAGTTAAAGGAATAACTCTTCAGCATCAAATCTCTTATTCATAAATAATATTTGGAGATTTTATGTCGAAAAATATTCCCAAGATATTATACAAATTACTAGGTATAGAGAAACACTAAACATATCAACTAAATCGTGGCCTAATTAGAATTAGGAGTTCTAGCTACCATTCGCTTTTGTTCTGACAATTGAGCCAAGCCCTACTTTTGAATATCACAGCAATCAGTTATAAAAAATATTAATATTCTCATCACTTTCGTTGTCAACAATGTATACAGTATCTTATCGTTTAAGACAGCGACACGTTGTTTGTCTCGCGGTAGCCAAAACCTTGTATCTAAAAAAGCCACAATTATAAACACTGATGACGTCACAATATTAGTGGTGTCAGATTAGTCGATGCTCAGGGTGCCAAGTGCGGTGCACACAACTGCTCCGACGTCATACAATAACACTACGCAACTAACAGAACGACATTGCATGCAACATTTATAAACGAGTAAATTAACAAATGCAATCACCTAGTCGGTTATCTAAGCCAAATTTCACACCTCTAATTTGCCATATAACTTAATTGCGGGATCAAAAACAAATACATAGTAATTTAAGTTTCATTTTACTACGTGGCATAAATAAAGCTTTGATTAAAAACAAATAATATACAAAAAGCTATGTACACTTTAGAAGATACTGTCTTAATAATTCTTTAAATAACATGATAAATAAAGGTAGTGAAAAATGGCTACTTTAAAAAAATAATCAACATCATACAGCTTCCTAAAGGAAATTCTACAATGAGATAAACTAAGCTAAATGTTACTCTAATGATGTAAATTATCGACGACTACCTGTTGATCCCCGATAAAATCTCGATATGTCTCGTGCTAGTGAGTGACTGTTAGACAACGTAGTAGGTTATAGAAAGTAACGCCGCGGTAGAAACAGTAAAACTGTTTTGGAAGATGTGGAGAAATTTACATAGTTGTGTGCGATTTTGAGATAGGAGGTTTTGCTTCAACATGGCCGTTTGCTTTGAAGTTATTAAATTTAATATTATTTTTTTATTTAATAGTATGAATACTAACTGTCCATACTAAAATAAAAGTAAATCTTTGCTCCGTAGATATTCCGCATTTTAGACATTGATTTAAAGCGTCATAGTCGTTCTACAGTTTAGGCTTTCTGCTTTCTAGGCGAAGTAAGTTTAGACGTTTTGCGTCATAGACAGTCTGTATATTAGACATTGATTTAAGGCATTTTGCTTCAAAGATGTCTGCAAATTAAGCTTTGTTATGAAAACAGGAAAAATATCTGATTGCTTTAAAGAATTGGTTTCCGACTTTCTCAAAGCTTTAGCCTATATAACCTTCAGCATACATCAATTTTGGTTGTCTAGTACCCATTTTTTTTAATATTCTACCTAAAACTCCGAGAAAATATCGACAATAAATAAATGCCATATGACTTAACGCATATCCTGTCCTCGTACAATCCAATCCTACACAACAGGATACAAATCTTGTACACAAAAAATAGTTAATCCTTCAATACAAGTGTATAACGCCCATGCGCGATTGATATCAAGCGACATCCTTGCTGCACTATTCAACAAGTGCTTGTAGAATAGTTATATATCCCTTCATAGCGCAGACGGCACATAGAGATTGATACGAAAGTGAAGTTATTCAGCTTTTTTATGTTCCTGCTTTAAGTAAGATATTTAGAATATCACAGACTGAACGAAATACGGGGTTTAGGTTCACGATAAAATGTGACCCATATCACTTTTAGGTAAGATATATTCTAGACTCCACTCAAAGCTTAACATCAGCGACGCAATTCTTAATCTGGGTAATGTAACATTGATTTCTAAGTACTTATTGTTCAGCTCAACGAAAACGTATATTAAAGGATTGTCACAGAAGTTTGAGTAGAGTAATTTGCAAAGTTCAACTTTAAAACTACTATAAAATTCCTGAAAACTTTTTCGTGATGTTAATGCCAAACGTATCATAATTTGCTATCTCGTACCGAACCACTATTAAAAACCTGAAAAGTTCTTCGTGATGTCAATGTTAAAATTTTGAACGTCATATTGAAGCAAATCCTACATTTGTACGCGGATAGAGATCACATGCACGAGCCGGGTGCCACCACATCTACCCCCCGTTAGTATACACCGAGGCAAACCTTCTGGCGCAGGTCGGACGCGTGGTGCCGCTGGTCCCTGAACACCGCGTTAGGGAATGGGAACCACAAGGCCCGGTGGGAGGACCGGGGACTCTGTAACACCCCGCTAAACGCTGATGAAATGGGTGGTACACAAGTTAAGGGCGCCTAGGTCGCCTACACGTCTTTGCTTGAACAATTTCCTTTGATTCGTAAAAATGTAGTAACTATTACGCTAGGGAATCGGAACCACAAGGCCCAGTGAGAGGACCGGGGCCTCTGTAATACCTCAATCAACGCAGGTGATATGGGTGCGATAGACGTACACTAGTTGAAGGTCACCTTCATGAGTTTTATCTGAACAATTACCTTTGATTCGTAAAAATGTAGTAACTCTTAAGTTAGGGAATGGAAACCCCAAGACCCACTGGGAGAACTGTGGACTCTGTAACACCCCGCTCAACCCTGATGATATGGGTGAGACAGCGGTACAAAAGTTTAGGGCACCTAGATCTAGTATGTCCGTTTAAATTCCTTTTAAACGCATTTTTGTTCCGTGCTGATGTAGTAATTTTTGCATTAGGGAATAGGAACCACAAGGCCCGGTGGGAGGACCGGGGACTCTGTAACACCCCGCTAAACGCTTATGATATTGGTTGCTAAAGGAAGTTTGTTTAACTTATAAGGTGGCTGGTTAAATATTCTTAGCATGGATTCTGTGTAAGGCACCCATTAATGGTATTATGGGTGCTATACATAAAGTAACGTCAGGTCTTGTGCGTGAATGTGTGCATGGTAGTGATTGATAAATGAAATGTGATTGCGTTAGTCATATTTCAGTGAATGAATGTTAAAATAAATTAAAATTTATATTCTATCATATAGTCAATAGAAGAGGATAAATAAGAGTAAACGAATAAATTTTGGCTTCATATAAAAAAAGTAATAAAATAAAATATGATGGAGGATAGATAAGACAGAAAAAGATATGTGACCGTTGTTGATGATTTATTGGGAAAAAGAAAAGCTTTTGGGTTAAAAATATCATGTTATTGGTTCAATAGGGTATTTGACAGTGTTAAAAATGAAGTGCTAATTGTTGGCATCTGTGTTTAGAATGAATAGTGGCAGGGGATTTTACTATTTTTACAAAAAAATAGACATAATTTTACTAAAAACTAACGAAAAAGATAGTATAGTTTTCTTATTTATTGTCACGTGACCCAAAACGCTTGGGATTGACGGAGCCTAAAATGACGTCACACGCAAGTAAACTTCCGGTTAAAGTGACATTACATTGTATCGTTTGACGTTTTAATAACAGTCGTGTGACGTCACACACTAGTAAGACGCCATATTGTCCAGAGAAACGATTTCGCGGCAACTTGAAAATGGAGTTTTTGATTTGATTATTTTTACTGAAATACACAACAAAATGATGAATATCCAATGAAATGAAATGTTGACGGACTCCATAAACATTAGTCAATAACGTGAGATCGTTTTCTAAAACTTGTCAAATACCCTATTCCGTTCGATTATTACTTGCAAAAGTATTGTAATGTATAAACAAAGAAAGTATATATTATGACTATTTCTGATAATTTGAACTGTTGTGAGACAGAAGGAACGGAAGAGGATGCTCATTAGATTCCCCTTAGCACAGAATGTTAGTTAATAGAATTTAAACCCTCTCGAATGGGGTAAGGTAATAAAATTAAGAAGGTAATTAATTTAAACAGTCGAGCAACTATTTAAGATTTGTGCAACAAACTGTGGGACGGATAACAAAATGAGGTCAATTACATTTCCAAAATAATCTCTTGTGAATAAGTCATCCATGTTGGTCGGTAATTTGATAGAATGGAATTATTATACTTGAATAGTTGGTTTAGGTAAAACTGTTTATATATACAAGTGGCTACTTAAAATTTACTTTTACATCCTTGGAACATGGTTACTTGTAAAAAATAAAGTTTAAAAACTATACACATAATATTGCTAGAAATCTAAAAAAAAATTACAGCCATCGTGAAAATCGTATATTACAATACATATACATAGCGTACGACGACAACGCAAAACGAGCATAACCCCAAAACATTCATACGATGTAGCTAGCCGTCATGCAAAACTAGCTATATACATACATACTCACCTAGAGGGCAAATTAAATAAAATCGTAAATGAAAACGGGAAGCAACGTCTAACCGAACTGCTCTCAAGCTAAACTTGGCTGGAGGAAAAAAAAACACCTAAGTGACAAGCGGTGCATCTAAACATCGAGTCGCCGCAAGCTCGCAACGGAGCGACATTAATCGTAGACATTATGTATCTTACTTCGCTCTGGTCAAGTATCTGGGACTTGATCGCTTGGATAGGGTAAACGCCCATCGATAGGGCGCGCGGGCCCGGCGAATGCGAACCCTAACGGAAACAATCGGCACACAGTTAGCACTCACACAAAACAATCGGTTACATGCGACTCGTCACATGTTAAGTAACGATACTCGATTCGCAACATCTGTTAAACATGTCTCAAGCTGTGTCCAATACTGGGAACTTTACACTTGTAACTGGCAACTTTTTTTTGTTTTTTTTTTAATATTCACGCGCAACTCACACGCATGCCATACTCGAACAAGTAATTCGATGGCCGTCAAAGGAAATATAAGTATCTTACAAAATAGTAACGAAACACACAGAACACTGAAAGTATAGTAACAAGTATGTAAGATAGTCAAAATTCAAAACAGACAAAGCCGAATGAAATGAAGTCGGTATAATTCCCTAGTATGTAGGTAATTTAAGAAAACAAAATAAATGTATGTAATAAATACTGGATCATGAATTTTAAATTTACTGCGGTCGAATGATCACATCGAATGTAACACAACATAATCATTCACAAACCTGTCGCAAACACAGACTAAACATAACATAATTCGGTGATATCGGATATGAAATTAAATAAAAAAAACAGTCATTATGAAACGAGGATAAACTACATAATTTACAAATAATAGTGGACACTCATATGCGTCTGGTGTCGAATTCGCAAACTCAATTCGATTTGATAAGTTAGTCATGTTAGGTTCGGCAATCGTATGAATCGAATGATAAAGAAAAGCCAAAAAGCCACGCCTATTGTCGTCGTGTACGATACCATCTGTTTGCACGTTTCCTCAGACATTTTCTGCAAACCAAGTAAAATTACTGATATACCGACAATAGCACATCGTAAGTAACCACAAAACTTAAAATCAACTGAATCGAATTTCAACTATTTTAGTTCAAAATCGATTGGAGAAATTTGAAAGTTTTACGATGACCTGATGTGCAGTCGTCTTCACATGACACGTCCTATTTAAAAATGCCTATATGGAGTCAGATGTGCGCGGAAAAGTTGATCTCCAATCAGAATCGCTATTTTTACTTTAAACTGTACTGAGGGCTACCACCACTAATTTCGAAAGTTAAGAAAGTGTAATGTCCTTTCGTAAACCATTTTTTTATTCTGACATTTGAAAAAGAGAACATCTTTACACAGACAGTTAACATTTGGTGATCAACGAATGGAAGCCCTTGATTGCTCGAGACGGCTAATTTTTAAACAATCCTCATTCGAATACTTTTTGTGCGTGGACATCCAATAGGACACAAGACTACGGCGCGGCGTCGCTACCGTTAAACGACGCCGTCTCCCAATGCTTATGTCTTTGTTTATTCAGATTTTATATAATTAAAGAAAAATGCGTCTTTTATCATCTATACCCAATTACCACAGGGGGTCAATCGCCTAAAGGGATTGTTATGGCTATCGCTATAACAATCGCCTAAAGGGATTGTTATGGCTATCGCTATAAGCTGTTCAAGTACCTCACACTCATTTTCTTTAATATTGTTATAACCAAATCAAACGAAAAAAAATGAGCGCGAGCATTTGAAATACTTCGGGGGTCAGAATTAACAAAATGAAAACGTAAGCGATAGCGATAGCCATAGCAAACCCGTTAGGCGATTGGCCCCCTGGTTACAGCGCCAGATAAGCTTTTTTGGCGTCACGACTTGAATTTTAGCAATATGTTTCATATCTATGTGTCCCCCACACCTTTAAGAAGGATAGTTATAGTCAAGACACAGATACGTCAACTCGGCGGCATCGCAGTTTCGTGTCCATTTGTCCACACCCAGAGGGCCGTAAAGAAGGATATGTCTAACTAGTATTCCATAGATTAAAGCCAGTCGCCCTCGAGGGGATTGCCACCGGAGGCAACCTGGGAATGAAGTTATTGCCCCCACTTCATTTTTTTTTTCTATTTACCTCCGGTGGCAATCCCCGCGGGGTCGACTGGGCACTGAGGCCTCAGTTGACGCAAAAGGAGTAAAATTCAAGACTTGCTTTCAGATTACGTACCTCTCGTATGGTCAGCGTATGTGACATCATCTGAATGTTGACCTGCGACTGACTGGTGGGCAGGTTGTCTGAGGATCGCGAACGAACGAGCCTTGATCCGGTGATGACTTGCTTCGACTTGAGCGTCATCTCTGTCTTGATGAACACCCGCGATATGTACTGTGAACTGGGCACAAAGGAGTTCAGAGTTAATGCACATATATATATTATAAAATATTAAATAAATATTTCCAACACTAACACCAATTAGCCTAGCCCCAAAGTAAGCACTGTTAGGCTTGTGTTATGGAAAACTAGGGTTACGGATAGAATACATATACTGTACATATATAAGGATATTTATATAGAAATACATATTAAACATCCATGACTGGAGAACAAATGATCGTAATCATCACACAAACATCTGCCCCCACCGGGATTCGAACCGGAACCGGCCACGGAGGTCGTCAAATTATACTCATCAAAAAACTTCTAAGCAACATGTTCTACGGTTTTGAACAATTTTCAGTAATGTATTATATTTATACTATACGTACCTACTTTTATAAAAACAATCAAAATCTTTCCATTTTGAAATCAGTCAATTTATATTTTGACAACAAAAAAGATTGTACACCGATCTACTTTGCAAAAAAAAGGATATGTGCTGTTCACATGCGATAGAAGTGAAACCTACAAAAATGTGAACACGTAAAATTCCTTCGTGACTAGGTACGTCTTTAAGACAACACCTGTGTTAAAATTCAACTCTCTAGGTCAAATCGAGGATCGAATCACCGTTAACCGTTTGGCTATCTTATGGGAAATCACAAAATTACGAATACCTATCTTGTGTCTACTTCCGTTTCATCGAATCTCAAATCACAACGGTGATAAAGAAGTTTTCACTTCAAAAAAAAATAAAAAAAAATTACAGAGCTCAGGTTCGAACCACCGACAAGTTGGTGTCAACCCCAAGACCGTTACCGTTCGGCTATCCGTCTCTTATGGTAAATGATAAAATTACGAATACCTATTTTGTATCAAATACTTTACTTCCGTTTCATCGAATCTAAAATCACAACGGTGGTAAAGAAGTTTTCATATCAAAAATTAAACATCACCAATCCGCATGGGCTCGCGTGGTGGTTCATGCCAATATCCCTATTCCATCGATAGAGAAGGCAGCAGTGGGGTTATCAAAAAAGCTGATGATGTTGATGATATAAAATCTGAACATTAATGAAATATTTATTTCTTAGGTTTTCACCACGGAGGAAAAACAAAGAGGAGGTGTGGTGATTAAATTTCCTCAAGAAACGACGCGTGAAAATTTGCGGGAAGCGGGGTGTTCAGCTCCGCCCACTTCTCAATATTTCATCTATCGGCTAATAGCAAAACTAGCTTAGGTTGATATTTGTTACTACGTAGTAGTTCAGCTATCTAACACTAGATGTCAAAAGTTTTGTTTATAATGGGACGTACTCAGAACTTGAAGCTTCAAAAAAATTAAATATGTAGGTAAATAAATAAAATAAACGTTGACAAATTTGACCGATTTTAAAAATTTTAAGGTATTAATTTTATTATTTTAAAACATGTAACTGCTTGATGAAAAAAAATCCAGGCAGACCAGGCAGCAGACGGGACTCGAACCCGCACCCGCTCCCGTCTGCTGCCTGGTCCGCGTGGATATTTTTCTAGTTATATTTTCTTTAGATTTAAATTTTAAGGTAGTATAAAAATAATAGACAAAATGTTATTACAAACATAATTTTATTAAAAAACATCAATTACCTGTAAATAATAGTTTTGGTTAGTTGTTGTCGGTTGGTTGCCCTATCGTTTTGTATTGTGGCAAAATGCTTAAAACGAATATCAATATATTTTTCTGCAATCGATTTCATCAGAAATACAACATGATTAACTGTAGGTGATTGGTCAAACATATGGTTGGCCGATTTTTTGAAACAATCTTGTCCAATAAGTGATTTTAATGTATTCGATACAATTTTATGTTTACGAAAGTTAGGAGTATTCAAAGATTGCGATTTAACATAACGAATACTGTCTTCGGTCCGTATACATATTTTTATGACATCTCTAGATGGGAAAGTAAGACCACCCTTATTTTTAGATTTTATCAAATCAAGGTCACTATCGTCGTAGTTATCAGCATATAATTCTTTGAGACAGCTCTCACATTTGATCTTGGAATGTAAATATTTGACCACATACCCAGAAATATATGCTACTATTTGACGGCGCAAATAGTCACCTATAGTTGTATTTAATTGTTCATCAAATTCCAATAACATATCGTCAGGCATAGGCTCGACATCCGTGCTATCCGAAGACTCGAAACTCATTTTATTTAAAATGCGATAACGTTCTGATATAATATTAATTTTTGCACAGAAGATTCATTTAAAATGGAAATATCTTCTTCTTCTATGGTGTCCAATCCGGTCTATTAAGTTTTGAAATCCATTGCTGTTTTAAATTATCGTTGGATGGAAATCTAAAACGAACATAAAAATAATTAAAATTTATTTACTTGGTAAAATAATTTAATACGTATTACGGCCCTGGGTATTTGTAACGTTTAAAAAGTTATTCTATATGACGACAGATGGCGGCCAGTTAGTTATATATTGATAAAATTACTGTTTTAGACAGTAAAAGTTATTTAGGAATAAGTGTATAACAGTTTTCAGTATTTACGTATGATTATTACAATATACTACTGCAAAATTATACGTAAACTTGTGTATTTTCTTCCTAAAAGTGTCGCCATCTGGTGTCAAGTAGTAGAATTTTAACGCTGATAGCTGAGGCTGAGAATGTTCTAGAACTTATATATTTAATTACGTATAAAATTACTTACAAATGAAATGTGATGCCATCCATATTATCAGAACGTCTGTCTGAGTAACTTTGACATAGTAAAACACAAAACTTCATCCTTTTCTTGTTAAAAACGCAAAAAAACACTTATAATGCGAGTCTCGTTAAGTGTGCACCTGACGAACGCTGTAAGCATACTGACTTAGGCCCCGCCCACAATGATGACGTCAGGACCTAGTTGAAAATCACAGTGCACAGTTGCTTAGGCCAGCTCCTCTTTGTTTTTCCTCCGTGGTTTTCACGCACATTACTCATTAAATAAAACTAGTTTTAACGGGTTAATGCCAATATAATGAAACATAGGCGCGAAAATAAGTCTGCAGTGTGTGAACATACATTAGGGGGACCAAACCATTACATTAGATTTGATAAACCACAGATCCTTGCAACTGAGCAACGATTCATTCCTAGAATGATACGCGAGGCTGTTGAGATTAAAAAAATATCCAAATTTCAATAGGGAAGATGGTTAGTATATACCACCAGCTTGGCAACCCATTATACAAGAGATAAAATCCCAACCCCGAGCACACACTGCAAGACCAACAGATACTATTAGTTCTTTTTGTTTGCATAATCTAACATAAGAAGGAGATAGAAAGCCTCTCTTGAGTTTGTTTCGCCGGTTCTTCTCAGAAAGGTCTCCCAATTTTGAAACCGGTGGTAGTTTACGGTAGCTAGGGTCAAATAAATAAACTTAAAATTACAAACAGAATTTTAAATAAAGTACTTTATTAACTAAATTAACTAATAAATTCATACATAGACAATAAAAATTTTAAAAATCTAACAATGAATTAACCGAACGCTCAATAAAAGTCTTTCAAAGGTAGCTCGACAAAATTAAATAAAATGTTTATTCTGACGAAGCAGACCTAATATAAGCAGATAAGGCTGCGAAACGTCAATAAATAAATAAAGTTTCGTGCATTAACCCGTTAAAACTAGTTTTATTTAATTAATGAAATAGCTTACCTAAGCGCCCTAATGCTGAAAGCAGTCCGTAGCAACTTGGTGGGGGAAGCAGGCATGTTTCTGCAGAATTTGTCGATGGCATGGTCTACGCCGTTCTTGGTCGCCTCTGCGTACCACTCCGAGTTCTGGTTTGTCGAATGCTTGTGAAACAGTATGAGGATTGCCAGAGCTACCCTGTAGAATACCTGCGGGCAGTAAATTTCAAGTGTAGTTATAGTAGGATTCTAAAAGCAAGCTGCTAGTGCACGTGCACAAAGTTCAGCTATTCTTCGCTAGATGGCAGTGATGTCACCTAGCTATACTTAACTTTTGTTAATTAATAATATTAATGTGATGGAAGTTGACATCAACACATGTATTCAATTTTTGATGTCATCTTTCAATTGACGACACTGTGTGAAACAAAACAGGGAGAAAAAAATAGCCCTCGCTGAGTTTCTTGCCGGTTCTTCTCAGTACAAGGTCTCCCGCCGTAGATTTACGAACCGATGGCGTAGCGTTTGACTTTCACAAGAGCTTGTAACAGCCTAGACTGAATAAATGAGTTTGAATTTGAATTTGAAGCGCGAGTTTAATTACATTTTATCATAAACCCAGTCAGCTGCGCAATTGTTCAAAATTAAAATGTTGTTGTAAAAAATAATCTTAACGATTTCATTACAATAACTATTTAAACGAGTACAGAAAAATAGTTGTTTATTTAAACTGTTTCGTTCATTCGTTTACGATAACAGCGCTTCTGATGCTGAGTGTTGATCGATTATTAAATTAGTGACGTTAGCGCAACATTGGTCGAAGCTGTATTACATTGAACAAAAGCTCCTCTTTGTATTTGATCCGTGGGGTAAAGGCATAAAGTTATCGAATAAATTTTAAGGCGCTGCGCTCCGGTTCCCTGATGTTACCTGAAGGCGTACAACGAACCTTGATTCCTTCGTGAAAGAAGCAGTCGAGTACGCGGACCAGGTGCGGGAAGGGCAGAGCGGCCAGGATCCACCACTGCCAGTCAGTGTAGATGCGCTCTGGCCCGATGCCGCCCGACAGCCGCGTCAAGTGCTGCGCTGCTGACTTCTGCAACCAGTGCCTTACACTGTATTTATATGAAAATTGTGGGAAACAAATGCTTGACTGGCTTAGTGGAACGCGAGCGACCACTTTTTTGTCTGGGAATAGCATAAACATAGAGAATGGACCTTTGATTTATTTATATACACGCCTGGATAGAGCAATCCAAATAAACAACGCACAGAAATAGGCTCATGTTTGCGCAAGGTGTGGGTGAGTCTAATGTCAAGACGATCGACGATCGTATCTACCAAATATAGTAGATATTTTTTGGGTCGCTTCTGTGCAGTTAATACGGTATCAGGGCGCGTATACAATTCAATCAAAGGAGAAATCTGAGCAAGACATGCATGAAATTGACAACTCTCTAGAAAAAGTGATATTGCATAAATTAACAACTAAAGGTCGCACGACTGCTTCATCTTTTTCACACTTATCTATCCAGTTTTATTTTTACGTTTGAACAGAAAACGGGCACAGTCTATGCATGTCTATTGAGAAACGTAATAGCCTTCTTCGCCGAAGGTAGTTGGAATGAACGAATGAGCAGGGTGCTATCCACTTTAACCGTATACAAAACTCATGCAACGACCACCTGGCAAATAGTGGCATCCTGTTAAGACTGCCTCTTCACTCGCCAGATACCGCAGCTTGAAAACTTATCTTAAATCATTTAACAGTTGATAAAAATAAGTTGAATGTTTAAATCTTTTAATAATCCACCCACGATCATAAAGATTATCCTGTTTAAAGAAAAATGCTAGACTGAAAACTCATCGACTTTGAGAACTGAAACTTGAAACTAGATGTCCCCAAATTGAATTTGCACGAGTACTCAGACGTGCCTGTTTCGTTAAAGGTTAAAATATTATTCATTGCCAAGCACGAGTATTAAATTACCCTACAGAACGTTACGTGACGTTACCATTTCGAAACGACTTCCCGATCAAAACTCATTTTCCTCCGCCACGAACAGTCACTAATACAAAACGGACATTGTAACACGAAAACTTCGAATTACCTCTAGAGGCTTTCATTTCAATAATAATTACCGGTACTCACGAACTAATAAACAATTTAACAGTCGGAGCGTGGGGATATTTTCAAATACAACGTGTAGCAGCGTGACAGTTCATTTACCTTTAAATTACCTTACCCGATTTTATTACCTTGATATAGACTGCTTTAAAAGCTTACCAGCTGGCGAGACAAGAGATTACGAATTGTTTTTAATGATAATAATATTAATAATTATTATGAAGGATATAAAAATAAACATTTCAAGTAGAATCAAGATGTTAACAGAATAAGCAGTGTGTTGTAATGTTAGGAAATATGCAGTGCGTCGATGTGTATCGTCAACCCCAAAGTAAGGCAAAGGTTCAAGAGTCCGCGATCGATTTCCAATGGCCGTTCACCCTCGAGTAATTATTTACGCTGATAGTGGCAACCCCGCGCCTTGGCCTCGGACAACGCAAATTATGTTATCTGTGATGGAATATGAGCTCGACGGATTGCCGCGCTTTTAAATGAACGATTCCCATTTGGCTAATGATTTTAAATAAATCTTAACGTTTAATATTTATAAATGTTCAGTTACCTAGAAAGAAAAATCTTATTTACTAATGGATTAACGAAAACTTAATTACTAAATTATTATATACTTGATTGAACTTACTTTTACAGACTAATGTACATGCCGCACTCTGGAGACATCAAGTAAAATTAATTAAATGCTTTATCAAATAATGAGTTCTCTCATTCTACTGTTATTCCAAAAAAGTGACAACAACAATTTTTAAGACTTTTTTAAGCATTCAACTGCTAGATTTTTAAATCTAAAGAAAAGTTTACTAGAAAAAAATCGACGTGAACCAGGCAGCAGACGGGACTCGAACCAGCACCCTTCGCTTTCCGGGCGAATGCACTGACCATTATGCTACCGCGGCCCTGACGGCCGTGTCGAATTTTCTCTAACCTTAGGCTGCAAGGCAGCGCCATCTCTTCACATTGTAGTTAAACCACCCACAATGTCAAATGAAATACATTTACAAGTATTAAACATTTGAAAGAAGAATTAAGCAATTATAATAACAATTTTAATCAAACCAAAAGATGCGCTCAATAATTGGTATCATAATATTATATAACGGTTTTCCTATTACAATATGATCTTGCACGGATTCCAAGAAAACGGGCCAATAATTCGTGTCATTAAATTTTTTATTGTCAACAAACAATTTGCATAATTTTGTCGTATTGAAAAAACATTGTTATATTTTAGATAGGTATATTATTATGTATTATTGTAGATAAGAGTGAAAGCAGTTGTTATCTTTTCTTATTGTAATTGTTGTGTCAATGAACCTTCATAGAACGACACATTTGTAAATCATATCGTGATATAACTATTTGTAAATACGCAGCTATTGTATGTCAATCAATCTATCGCCTCCCTGTTAATTTCCATGTTTAATTATATTGTCGTAGAGGGAGGTAGCCCAAGCGCAAGTATTTTGGGAGGTACTCGAGCGCGGCAGAATTACATAAGGGGTGAGCTTGCACCTTGTGAAGTACTGCCACCATACCTGAGTCTATTATGTAGGGCCGAACGTCTAGATGTTTGTCATGGCCAAGGATTTTTTTTGCTGCCCTATGGCAGACTTCAAGAAAAAGAAAAGACTTCGAAGAAGAACAAAAGACTTTTGATCGCGTTTTAATTGTCAGTCTTTTAAATAAGAGCTTCTGGAGGGTTAACGTAACATCCCTGCTCAATGTCTGCCGCGCTCAAATATTTTTCTTTCCTATATTCAACTTAGGCTGCTATTACGAAAGCGAAAGAAATTAATTCATTTAATATGCCTGCCTTATAATACACCTTTATGCTCTGCCAGTTCTGCAACGGACATGGCATGAAGTTGAAAGACAGATAAAGTTTTTACTAGCCAAATACCATACTTTCACTACAATCCTACATAAACAAAATAAAAAGGAAATTACACTAACAAACATAAAGAATTCTTTCTTATTATTTCTAGAAGGAAGGATTTTCGTGATAGTGCAACTTCAATCAGTGCTTTTCTTCTGCATCGATTTTCACTTCAAAAGACACACCCTCAAACCTCTTTTTTTTGAAAAATGTACAACCTACAGGAACTAAAAAAAAAGATTTTGAATTGAAGCCAAATTTCGTCGTTCAAAATTACTGAATCAGACAATTTTGTTGTCTTTATAACGTGAAATTTTATTCCCTACAACTTTAATTCTATGCAGCTTTCAACATGAGTAATCCGTTTCAAAGATATATTAAGGATACGATTATTAACTAGGGGAAGGGCGCTGAAGCCAAAATACAGGGATGAACTTCCTAGTTTGGCTGAAGATGTCAATTAATATTGAACGTAAAATATAAGTGTAGACAAAAAAGTCTTATAAGAATATTATCATGTAAGTACGTGTACTTTTTTGCACAATAATTTATTATTATTACAACTAAATTGCACAATATAAATTTGCAAGTAAATGAGAAACTTTTACTGTTACCAACTTTTGATTTCGGCTTCAGTACTGAACTGACTTTGAAGTTTTACTCGTAGATACACATTTGACGCAGAATTTAATCATATTTAAATATTGTATACAATTAAATTTTCCGTCGGACGAGAGCTACAAGCAATAAACCGAAAAAAGAGCAAAATATATTTTAAGCTATCTAATATATCTAAAAAAGAGCGCTAAGTTGCAAGCTAATGCTAATTGTAGACAGCCCATAGTTAATTAATAAGGTAGCGATAGCATATCATCCGCTGCCTAGTAAGGGTGGTGAAACTCGGCTCAGCTTTGATCATTAACCATGTCAGTTTAGTGAAGTATAGTGTCAACAATTTGACACAAAGCCTCCCCACATAATTTTGTATAATTTTACAAAAGGCTACATCCAAATGATATTCTTTTATGTTGTGTTCCTACAGTGAACAAGATTGCCAGAGTACCACGGGGTAGAGGATCGGGGCAGTCCCCGTTAGGGTTGCCACCCGTACTTTATTATAAAGTATTATACGTTATTTCGGGTAATTGTACTCTATACTTTATTGCGGATAAGAACTACAGATTTTTAGTAGCCACAAATTATTTGTTAAAAGTTGCTATAAGCAGCGTTAAATATATTTTTAAAGCTTACCTACTAATAAAGTGGAATAAAAATTAAAAAGTACGTTATTTCGGACACAATGTATTTATTTTTTCTATTTCTAATATCCGATGTACTTTATTTGGACTTAAAAAAGGTGGCAACCCTAGTCCCCGTAGCATGAGCACCTCAATTTAAGTTATATATCGTTTTTTATCGCGTCTAACTGTCAAACTCCATAGTAATTTGACAACTGAGCGTGATAAAAACGTGCTTTACATCATATCGCGGTGCTCATGCTAGGGGGGCAAATGATTGTACGGCAAAATAAAGATATAGGCTCTACAGCGGCCACTTACCATAGCAGCCGGCCAAATGCTTGTTATTCTCCGGGCCGGAGATCTAAACCCTGGATTTCAGACTTGTTAAACATGCTTATTTATGCCTGCCTTCCACTACGAGCGGAATGGACCCATTACGAAACAATAAAATAAATGCAGGTTTACTCGATTGAAGAAGAGTACACTGTCATTTGAGCAGACTCACTAAATTACTCTTTAAATCACTAAAAGGAGATTATCCCTTGTGCCTTTCGGAAAAGCCATTTATTAGGAGGAAGCAAGACTACTCAGTTCCATCTATCTAAGAGCCGGAGCACACGATGCGTGGCGGATCAAACTGAAACTAGCAGCCACCAGCTAGCAGCCGACAGGGACGAAACATAGAAGATAGGGCCCGGGGCCTATATTTTTTAAAAGTTAGAATTTTCATTGCGTAATACAAGTAATATTAAAAATTAACATTAAGAGTTTAAGTTTAGGTACCTTTATCTCCTCTCCTAAAAATGATTTATTATTTTTTTAAAAGCTGTATTTCA